GTTGTGGCTCGGTGCAGATTTTTTAGTTCTCCTTTGCCCCTCGCATGGGCCTTAGTAGGACTCAAAGGTGATCAAGGCAAATGAAAGGAAGCTTGCGAAGGTTCTCGATGTTTACGAGCAACAATTGTAGAGAGCAAGCTTCTTGCAGGTGATGAGTTCACCCTTGCCAACTCTTAATCTCCCCAATGGACATCATATGACCGATCTAGAACATCTCATCAAGTCAAGGAAGAATGTGGGAAGGTGGTGGCAAGATATCTTGTCGCAACCTTCGTGGAAGAAGTTTTTTAAGATGAAATCCCTCAGACCCGACTGTCGGGTTGACTTGGGTCTGAACTGAGTCGGATTCAAATTCCACTTTCTAACCCATTTTAAAAAATGGGTCAGGCTCGAGCTGTATCAAATAATTGTTGGTTAATTTTTAGTTCAACCCGAACTTGACCTGAAAACCCTAACACCCCAAATTAATATTATATATATAGGCAAGAATCCATATTTATGATCATTTTTGTTACTTTCAAGATCTTTCGGCATATTCAATATCTTTAATATTCTTTTAACATATTCTACTATATGATCATTCACAAACTCTTCATATTCATCATACTTTCGCCCATTTCTCTAGTTCTCACCTAAAAGATTGCTCGCTAACAAAGTGGAAGATCGTCCACAAATAATTTTGATTCCAACAAAATGATTTCTCATTTAAATTTAATTAAAAGATCACATGTTAAAGTTTAGAAATCATTCTATAGAAATTAATCCAAGATATCAATTTTTTTCCCATTCTCCCAATTCAAAAAACCATTTCAGAAGACCACAAAAATTGATATAATCACATATATTTATTGTCAGATGTATAACATATTTTGAGAACGGTCTAACCTCTAACCCTAACTGGCTGTTTATTTTTTATTTAAATTATATTATTTTGGTCGAAATCCGAGGGCCCACACTAACGAAAATGGCATGCCACATCATGGGTCCCGTAATCGGGTCCCTTTGCCGGGGGCGTTCAGATCCCATTCCGAGCAGAAGAAGCTTCTCAGAGTCCAGCGAATAAATCGGACGGCTAATTACACGCCGAATCTACGTGGATGGTACTCCGCGATTAATTATTCGGTGTGTACAATTCGCTCATTCATTTTGAAAGGAAAAAAGTAAGGCAATTTTTTTGAACTTCCAGAATGCAAACACGACTTTATGCGGTCGTCCGCGTCAGCATCGAGTCAAGATTCGGGTTTGTGTGACCCACGGCGTGCCCGTGTAAGCGGCAGTTGGTGGGTCCGCTGAAATCTCGCTGTCAGAACCCGCGGGGAGAGAAGTTGGAGGTGGGGCCAGTTCTGAGAGATGCAGGGTAATGTGTATATATATATTGTATATAGTATATTATATATTCCTTTGTCAATAGAGTTGAAGCTGAATGTCCAAAAAATTTAAGTTAAATATTACTGTTTTTTTAATTAAATATTTTATAAATATTAAAATATCAAGTTTTAAAATTTTGACATAGAATTATATTCAGTTAGTGGTCCGAGAGAAATTTAGCGTCAGTTTGTGGTGGTCCAATAGAAGTCCGGGTATCATTTGATGGTCGAGCAGAAATTCGGCGTTAGTTGGTGGCCTATTGAAGATCCGGCGTCACTTTGTGGTCTTTCTGGCGGTGGTCTAGCGAAAGTTCAAGCAGTGTTCGAGGAGTTAGGTGGCAAGAGCAATCTCCGATTTCTCTTCTTGCTTCCTTGCTTGGGGCACATTTTCATGAGAAATGAGGGGTCTTTATAGATTTTTTTTAAATGACATGATAGTAAATATGAGGAAGATTAAGGGTAAATTTAGAGTGGTTTGAATGTACGACTGATGTTGATTCTCTTGATCGTGGACCCTTTTTAGACATTTGAATGTCTTAATGATATTAAAATTTAGCGATCTTGAGCTCGTTAGATTTGAATTGTAAAGCCGCTCGATTCGAATCTAAGCAATTCATGTTTATAAACCGTTTAGTAATCCAAATTATGGTTTGAATATTCCAAATGTGCTATGGGTTTTTGATTTGGATCCATTTGGGCTCGAATTGAGTCAAATTTGGTGTCGTTGGATTCGTATTTCCGAGACGATCAGTTCAACTATAAGTTGCTGAAATTAGAGTTCAGATGGTTCTGAATTTAATTTTTATCTCGGAATTCATGCTTGATCAAGATGTTTTTTTTTATGATGCATATATATATATATGATACGTTATCACAAAATTAGCTTGATTGGGCACGAATCTCGAAGCAAAAGCTAGTTGGAAACTTCAAAAATTAAATCCGGATTCGCAGCGGTAAAGAAATATAAATTTTAACATCTTAGATTTGTACGAAGATCCAACAAGCAATTAGATAAGAGAGAGAGAGATGGTGCAATATTCATAAGAGACACCACTATTTTTATGTGGAAAACCCTGAAAAGGCGAAAAATCTTGGGGCCAGACCTAGGTTGAATGAATCCAGTATTATTTGCAGTCGATTACAAATGAGGCCCTTCCTAGGCCTTGGGGGAAGGCCTTGGCTTGATGTTATAAATATACATTATATAATACGCATTACTTGATGGGCTTGATGTAATATTATGTTTGTTTGGTTGGCAGAACCATAGTCGGTGGGCGACTGTGGTCGGAAAGATCATTGTCTTGTGATGAAGGTTGGAAGAACCATAATTAGTGGGCGACATAGGTCATAAAGATAGTTATATATCGATAGATGTCGAAAGGATCGTAGTGAGCGAGCAACATTGGTCAGAACGATTGTTTTCTAGTGAAGGAAGTCAAAAGGACTGTTGATGAGCGGAAGTTCGGTGTCGGGTATAAATCTAGTGATGGGCGGAAGTCCGGTGATGGGGTAGAACTCCGATGTCAGTCAGTGGTCGAGGAGAACTAAAGCGTCAGTTGGTGGTCAGGTAGAACTCTGGCGTCGATCGGTTGTCGGGCAGAACTCCGGCATTAGTTGGTGGTCGGGCATAACTCTGGTTTTAGTTGGTGGTGGGGCAGAACTTCAACGTCGGTAGGCTACCTGGTGGAAGTCCGGCGATGATCGAGGAAGAGTCTAGTGGTGAGAGAGCTCTATTCCTTCTCTTCATTTTCTTCCTTTTATTTTTGCTTTCTTGCTTCCTTCTCTTCTCTTCTTGCTTGGGGTGCTTTCTTCCTCCCCCTTCCATGAGAAATAAGGGGTCTATTTATAATTCTCTGAGAGTGGCATGGATATTAAATAGGAGGAAGATTAAGGATAAATTGGGAGTGGTTTTAATGGACGGTCGATGTTGAATCCTTTGATCATGTATCGTTTATTGGGCATTTGAATATCTTAATGTTATCAGAATTAGGCGATATTGGGCTTGTTAGACTCGTCTCATCAAGTCGCTCTATTCAACTATAAACAAGCCACATTTGGAAATTGTTTGGTAATCCAAATTATGGAATGAACCTTTCAAATTCGCTCAAGGTAATTGATTTTGGCCTATTTGGGCTCGTATTTAGTTGAATTTGGCATCGTTGGGTTTGTATTTCCTAGATGTTCAGTTTGATTGTAAGTTTGATGAAATTGGAGTTCATATGATCACCGATTTAACTTTTGAAGTTTCTAACTTGATTTTGCATTGAGATTCATGCCCGATAAAAATAATTTTTTGATTATATATATAGATATACTCTCCTAACGAGGACATCAAAAAGTTTGACATGTTTTGTGACCAAATCATATAAGAAGTCTCCCTTTAATCTTTTATGCCATTGGAGCTTCTCCAATATTTTCAAGTGTATACCTATTTTGTATTATATCTCTAAGTGTAATAGCCACTCATAAATAAATATAAAGATATTGATATTAAATATTAAAGTAGGTTAAAATTATATGAATTATATATAAATCTCCCAATATTTTTTATCATGCTAAAAGATGTTTTAAAAGTTAAAAGTTCCATTTCTAAAATGTTTGTCTCTTTTATAGAAGTAAAGAAAATTTCCAAAAATATTATTTTCTTTAAAAACGTTTTAAAATCATGACATTCATTTATTTATGGGGAAATAATTTTATCCCTTATTTATGTAATGTTAATAAATTACCACATTTCTCATAATTATGTTCAAACTTTTTTTTTAATAACTTACTTAATTAGATTTGTAAATATCACATGTCATATATATATAAATAAGGGCCGAAACTCAAAATGACAATAAAGATAAGCAAAATTTTGATATATATGAAATACACAATTCATCTTGATGTATTAGTTGGGAGCTTAAGTTATTAACTAAGAGATTTTCAGATCAAGTCTTATGTATTAATTAACCTAAATGTCAAAAAAAAAAGACATGACCGAACCATTTATTAAAAAATAAAAAATAAAAGAAAAAATATTCGAAACATTTCTTACATATTCAAAATATTTAAAGGATAAGCTGTCGAATATCTTCATATTTCTTACAGGTTTCTTAAAAAGTTGGTTGGGGGCAGCCTCACACTGCAGGAAGGGGCTTCCCTGGCCCACAATTGTCATTGGGCCCGAGTCTTGCCCGCGCCAGACCCGCCCATTTGCGCCACTTGCATATCGATCAATGGGCCATAAGCCTTCCCCAACCCGGCCCGAGCCTATAGCCATTAGCAATTTCCCGCCAGCTAAAGCGGGGACCACATGCTCAACTACTACTATCCCGCGCAGACAAGACCGGAGGCAATTTCCCACGGTGGCCCGCCAAAAGTGACCGTAGAATGGGACCAACCGTCCTCACAGCCAGCATGGTTTGTTTCACCGCTTGGCTTTCAGAAAAAAGGAAATCGAGCGATATTGAGGCTCTGAAAACACCACGTCATTTGGTCGTTTTCCGGGTCCTCATATTTGTGCACTATAAAAATGCTCCCAGTCAACTAATTTTTAGGTCTTGCGTTTATTTCTCTAACTAATTCGCTTTTCTAGAAAATTATTAAGAACGTAATTTTCTTGGTGAACACGTCTTCTCCATCACGGAACTCTCTCCTATAAATGCCCTAAGACTTCCAAGCTGTGATCTTCTTCTTTTTCTCCTTCCTCTCTCTATCTTGCTCGCTCCGCTGAAGCTTTTCACGGGTTTTTTCAGTCTCCCTTCCTCCTAGGGTTTTTCGTTTATTCTCCCCATCTCCGTCTTCTCTTCACAGACGATATAGAGTCGAGATCCATATCCAGGTATTCATCGCAACATTTCGCTGTTTTTTTTTTTTACTTGCAATGTTGTCTGGTTAAGATTTTTTAGCACTGAGCACTGGGTTAGAAAGGAGGATTTGGACCCCTTCAAATTCTTCTAGAGCTTTGTAAAACTTGCTGATTTGTTTTTTTTTTCCTCTAATTTTTACACTTGCATTCTTTGCCATTTCTCATTTAGCTAAATTTGTTCAGTTTTTTGTTTTTTTTTGGGATTATTTTTTTAGCTTAATTTGATTCGTATTTCTCTGATTTTCACGTAACTTGCGAATTTTATTTCATTTCATATTTTATTGGCAATCCTGGATTTAGTTTCCAGTGAATGATGCTGCTTTGGGGGACATGCCGCTTGAACTTCGAGATTCGCATTTTTTTTCTTTTGCATTGTGGACTTGCCGTTGTGATCCAGGGCGTTGCCTCTTTGATGAATAACTGTACGAAGCGGTATTTTATTTAATTTTATGTTCCAGTCGCTGTTTTTTGTCTGCCAACTGTTCCCTTCCTGGCTTTACACGGTAGAAAACGACTAAAAAAATGGAGCCGAGGTCCACTACTTTCGGCCTTTTCGCTGAACTTTTTTTTTTTTAGTTCAAGAAAATTACACCGTCTTTTACAATTGTCTCGATCAGAATGCCTAAAATATATAAAGAAAAGAAACAAAAAAATTTTTATTTTTTTTTTCAACTGAGTGAAGTCTTGCCGTTTTTAAATTTTCTTCGTTACTTTGGAAACTTATTTACTGCAGGTGAAGTAAAAAATGGCACATAGAGAAGAGCTAATTGTCCGCTAGTAGAAACTAGAAAGGTGTAAAGTGAGCTGTCTTAGGCAGCTCACCTTAGTTTGCCTATCAAGTATCAACTAAGAGTTCTTGAGTTTGAGTCTTAAGTATATGTTATTTGTTTCAATTTGCTTTAATTGACCTAAATATATATATAATAAAAGCTAAGTGTGCACGTTTTGGCTCTTTTATGTGGAGTCTGTGTTGAGAGGAGTGCCGCGAGAAACCCGTTCTGTGAGGGCTTTGTCGTCTCCGCGGTTTCCGGGTTTGAGGCCGGCTGTGAGGTTTTAGCGACTAGCTAGTTTTCATTTTCGTATTGATAGCTTTTGGCTGATGCGATTTGTTGTGTTGTCCATTCCTCCTTTACCACTGCACCAATTACCGTGAATGTGTTTCCTACCAAAATGAAGTTTTCTTTGGCCGTGCAAGAGTTTTTATGATTATTCAATTGTTTATCTACATATTGATTTGTTAGGTTTTTTTTTTTTCCTTTTTTCTGTTGCGGACATTTATCATTTACTTCAATTGTTTGGCAAGTTATTATTTTTTATACTATTATTTTTTCTGATGCACAATATTGCATAGTTAAGTTGATCATTTTTAAATAAGTTGCCAGATTTTCCTTCTAATAGTTGGATCCGAGCGCTTGGAAAAGATGTTTTTGTGGTTTATTACATTAGTTTATAGAACTTATGCCACCATTTTAATAAATTTTAGAAAATTAACTATGCATCATACCTTTTAGCTTAGGGTTACAAGCGAGCACTGTTTGCTTTCAATCAACAATTTCGGCCAAATTACTTCTTTTAAGCCTGAATTGGTGAAATATTTATCTATTCTTTTAAATACTTAGTTTATTTTGGATGTCAAATTTAATTTTTTGTTTGCTTTTATATATTAATTTTGCGCTTGCATAGCTGAGAGACTATTGTCGCAAATAAAGCTATTTATGAAGCAATTTCAAAACCTTTTTCTAGATGCATTTTGATGCCATCCTAAATATAATGCATCTTTCTGCGACATCTATTGGCCTGAAAAATGTGAGCCCTTATCATGTTCAGGAAATTGGTGTGTTCATGTTTTGAGCTTTAATTGAAGATATGTCATCCAAATGTTCAGGTTTTTTATCATAAAGGGAGAAATGCAAGTAATATTATTTGCTTTCTATTTATATATCAATTGTTCGTATTTGATTTTCCTTTTATTGGCGGTATATTATCTTCTTAAGATTAATAAAAATGAAGCATTGTTGCTTTTAAATAAGGTACAGATGTTCACTACATATGTAAACAAAATTTGAAACAAAGCTCAACTTTTCTTTTTTCATTTTAATTTTGCAGATTTAGGAGCTTCCTGTTGAAGTTTGAAGGTATATTTCAGTCTTCGGAAGAACTAGTTTTCTGCTTAAATGTTTACCCGCCTGCTATAAATGCTTTATAGCTATGAGAAGGTAAGAATATTCAACCTCTCCGCTTTATAATTTTAGGATTTGGTTTTCACTTATTTGAAGTTTGAAAAATAAAATTCTCTCATTTGAAGGATTTTGAAGGTTTTTGTTGAGTTGAAATCTATATTGATTAATAACCATATCCAATAAGTAATAGAATCTAGAAATTGATCATTCTTCAGAACATGTTTTTTAACTTCAAGCAACCGGATGAACCTTAAAGGTTGGTCATAACTTGAATCTGACGAACTCTCAACCTTCAGATTTCAGGAAGCGTGTGCTTAATGGACTGCACCCCTAATTGCAAAGACAAGAAAAGTCTGAAGAGGTGGTTCTTCATTGATAAAATGGTTGGGTAGATAATTCAGTAGTCAAACAAAAGCATAGGAAGCAGCTGCTGTTAATTTTGAACTTGACATCATACTTTAAAGTTTTGAAGATTCCAAAGTGGTCTGGCTCCATGGATTTGAAACCTAACCTTAATTCCCCCGTTCTAGCTGATCAAGTCCCTGTGAAAATGTCAAGTCTAGGCAGATCGGCTACTTCGGCACCTTACTGGGCATCATTTTCTTCTGATCTCCATTTAATCATTCCCAAACGAAGAACTTTTCCTAACAAGCTTGATGATGTCCGTACTTCTGGCTGGCTGGATGCCATGAAAGCATCATCGCCTCCTCGTAAAAAGATCAACAAGGATATTAACTTTGATACCGCTTCTGAAGAAGCTGATGCACTGTATCTCTCTTGGCTGGTAATTTTCTTCCCCCCTTCAGTTGATCTTTGACGTTGCTATTTAGTCAGGTAAATTAACCAGAATGGTTTCTGCCTTGCAGAAGATCTATCCTTCAGCTATATCATCGTTTGAGAAAATCACAAATTATGCCAAGGGCAAAACAGTAGCTCTGTTCTTGGATTATGATGGGACTCTTTCTCCTATTGTGGACAATCCTGAACATGCTTTTATGTCAAGTGCGGTAAGTGATGGTCATCTAATTTAACTTGAGAACATTGAGCATTGGTAGTGTTGCAATTGAACTGTGCATGTTTTCTGTTTGTATTCTAACTTTTCTTTTTCGCTTCACTACAGATGCGCACCGCAGTTAAAAATGCTGCCGGTTATTTTCCAACAGCCATAATAAGTGGAAGGAGTCGTGATAAGGTACTTTTGAACATGGTTCATTTCACTGTCTTGATTCTGAGGCTTTGTTTGGGACGACTTTCTTTTTACTTCTTAAAGCAACTTTCTAGTATAAAAATTTTAATTTTTTTATTAGAAAGCTGCTTTATGAAGCATTAAGAAAGTCATCCAAACGAAGCTTGAAATTGTACCTGTAACCATTCTACTTATGAGCTACTTCTGCAACTTTCGGTTAAGAGTTGTCTACATGTTTACGGCAGCTAAGTATTTTTGGTTCTACCTGTGTTTTACACCTTTCATTTCTCAGGTTCACGGATTTGTTGGGCTAAATGAACTCTATTATGCTGGTAGTCATGGTATGGACATAATTGGCCCGGTTAAAGATTCTAAACGTGTCTCTAACCAGCCAAATACCATTCGTTCTACGGATGAACAGGTGCAGCTTCATTTTCTGCATCACTATTTGCTTTATGATTCAGATAACTCTAAACATTTACTATTTTTGGTTTCCAAATTTCACTTCAGTCTCTTTAAAATTGCATTCAACTTCAATTACTCCGTCCTCTGCAGGGAAAAGAAGTAAACTTGTTCCAACCTGCAAGTGAGTTTCTACCCATGATCGATGAGGTATAGTGTACTTCTTGAATAAATAATAACTATATTTTTCAAGACTGAAGGAAGTTGAACAAAATACATTTAAATTCTAGCAGGTTTTTAGATCGCTCATCAAGAATACAAAGGACATTTTAGGCTCAAAAGTTGAAAACAACAAATTTTGTGTCTCTGTACATTATCGCCTGGTTGATGAGAAGGTAAACTTGGACCCTTTTTTTGAATATCTTTCTTGCATTTTTTGCTAGTTACGTTACTTTTTTTCCCCCCTTCATTTTTCATCGTTACAGAGTTGGGATCTGATTGCCCAGCGAGTTCTTGATATTATAAAAAATTATCCTCGGCTACGACTAACTTACGGACGGAAGGTATTATTACATACCCAAAATATGGATATCTTTTTAGTGGTGCTTTCATAATTGAAGTTCTAATTGATTTTCATGTCCGGTAGGTTTTAGAAATCCGCCCTGTTATAGACTGGAACAAAGGGAGAGCTGTTGAATTCTTGCTCGAGTCCCTGGGACTAAATGATCGTGATGATGTTCTTCCAATATATGTTGGAGATGATCGAACCGATGAAGATGCTTTCAAGGTAGTAAAAGTGGTTATTTGATGCTCAAATAAACAACTAAATATCTTTATCAACACAACTCATCTTGACCTGTTGGTTGGGAGCTTAAGCTGTCAATTAAAAGGTCTTGGATTCGAGTCTGAGTATGCGATGTGTGTGCTAATTAATCTACCTTAATTTGCTTAAATATCCCTTACAAAAAGAAAAAGTAAATGAAATAACATTTTGCAGGTCTTAAGAGTAGGAGGCAAAGGCTTTGGCATTTTGGTTTCTTCAGTACCTAAAGAAACTAATGCCTATTATTCACTGAGAGAACCTTTAGAGGTAAAAAAAATAATAAATAAAAAAATTGTTCCTGTTCATTATTACTTGATCCAGTTGTTATCTGCAATAATTTCTCCTTGTTTTTATAGGTCATGGATTTCCTTATATCCTTAGTGAGGTGGAAGAAGGCTGAAATGGCGACACATTGATTTGTTTGATTTTTTTTTTTTAAGTTCCTGTAATCTATTATTATTAATAAAAGATGAGTGAGCGTATCAAGGCTTTCATTTCTAGTCCGATTATCTTTGTTGGTTATTTTAGTGAAGGGATGAAAGGTAGTCATTAGTGTTTTTGGGGCTTAAGCCATCATAATATATCGTGCTCATTGTAATTTTAGTTTTGTTATTTATTTCCTTAAACGCTGGTTTCTTTGTAATAATTCTTTATTATTATTATTATTTTTTCAATCTATGCTTGTTTCCAATTCGTTAAATCTAATGGAGTTTTGTACATTTGTAAAGAAAACGCCAAAAAGATTCGGCTATTTCTGAACAAAAACCACAAAGTCGTCAAAAATTTCAGCTTATTTCGCTCACCTCTGCGGAAGAGAGTAAGAGAGAGCAGGGGGAGGAACAATTATTACGTCCTCTGACCGGACGCAGAGGAACGTCCGGTCGGAGGCCAAATCCCGTCAAAAAACGAGTTGTACCGAGCAAATACCGAGCAATACCAAACAATAATGAGGAATACCATCATTGGAAGATCCAATACCGAGTTATACCGAGCTAACCGAGAAATACCGAGTTATACAAAAGTTGTACTGAGTTTTTCCTAGAAAAAATCGGTACAACTCGGTATTTCTCGGTACAGCTCGGTATAACTCGGTATTGGTCTTCAAAGAGCGGTATTGCTCGTTAATATCAAATAATACCTAGTTGTACCAAGCAAATACCGAGTTTTTTGGCGGGACGTTCCTCTACGTCCTTACACAGGACGTAATAAAAGTTCCAGGGGGAGAGAGTATAATATAAATATAAATTAAATATAAGTAATTAACTTTAATTTATTAATCTGATGAATATTATAAATTTTAATTAACTTTATTTTTGTTAAATTTTTAGTTAAAATTAATATCTTATTTATCTTAAAATAAATACAATAGTTATAATATTTATTTTTAACTAAAATTTAATAGTTATAAGAATTCAAAATTAAAATAAATTTATGTATAATTATTTATTTCAACTAAAAGTTTTTGTACAAACTATTATTTCAACTAAGAGCTTTTATTTATGTTTAATTCATAATATCTTATTGCAATAGCAAATTCTGATTTTGATTTTTTTTATACTTTAAAAAAGGGGTAAATGTCTTGCTGAGTAGATTAGGTGTCGAGGCAGGGTTTTGAATTAGGATTTCGAAGGTTTGATTTTGTAAATCTAGTTAATTATTTAAGATATATACCTCTGCGATCTAAATTATAGTAAGAACATTTTTTATGAAATGAAAATTTTGAGAATTATTAATATTTGATGTTACTATTACTATATTTTATTAATTTATTAATTTATTTATTATTATTATCTCATTAATTAAAATTTTGCCCATCCTTAAAAAAGAAATTGGATCCGCCCATTATTCTGATAAGAGGCTCATGATTCTTTAAAATAATTTATAATATTTTTAAATTTAATTTTGAGTGATTTTTAATTAAAAAATATTTATTTTGAATTACTTTTAGTAATCATTATTCTGATAAGATCATTAACAGACTGCTGCTTCCCACCACTTCGGCTTTGGCGTATAGTTCACAGTAGTAGAGAAATGAAGGGCCACATAACAAAGGGCATAATTTCATAACAGTCATTCTTCATGTTGGGAAGAAAGAAACAAATTTAAAAAAAGAAAAGAAAATGAAAACCAACATTTAACATAAAAAAATTCAAAATCAGAAAAAATCAGGTAGCCACATGAGATTAAGAAATTAATTATGAAATTGGGAGAAATAGTACAAAATTTCTCTTCTCACACTCTCTCATTGTCTCTTTTATCTTCTCTCTTCCTTCTACACTAGATGCATTTCAATACATCGAAGGATGCAATCCTTCAAGTGAAACATGAAAAGTAAAAAATAAAATTGCCCAACCTGATTCAAAACACAACGATGCTAAGGTCTGGATTGCCGTGGCGCTCCACTCTCTATTTCTATATCCACCTTGTAACGCCGTGCCACTGCAACCTACACTGCCGCAATTATCTATTTCTAACAACTCTATTCTCTCTATCTTCAACTAAGAGATTGTAGCATTGTACAGTTGCACGTGAAAATTTATTTTTTCGGGAGAAAAGCCATCGAACCTTAAGCAAGGGGAGTGCTGCCCCTCTACAATCCCTTGGTGCGGTCAACTGATAGTATTGAGGTCTAAAGCAATAATACAATCTGATTGATCGACATAATTAGATTTCGCTGAAAAACACTCCTTACTCTTCAAGATCTCTTGGCTTGATAAAATGGAGAAAGGATTAATAGCCTGATGAGGTTTGCCATTTGCTTAACTACTAGGGATCCCTCGAGCGCAGGTTTAATCTTTCACTTCTTTCTTTTGTGTTTCTATTGGTTATTTTGTTGGTTCTGAATTTCTCGATGTCTTATGATTATGGCTTTGGATTTGGATAGATATTCTTGCTCGCTATAATATCTTGGGAAATTTTGGAATAGCATTTGAATGCTCTTTTGTACTAATAGAGTTATGGATTATTTTAAAATATACTACTATATGATTTTGGCTTTGACTCCGCAGATACATATGGTGACTTCTGTGCTTTCTTTCAGCCTCCTTAGATGACTTTTTTTTTTCTTCTTTGGAATAAGGATATCTACCCACTCTAAATTAAAAGTGAGCTTGGCGGTGTAACTAATCTCTCGGCGGAACATAGCGAGGCTAGCCACCGGCTTCGAGCCCACATTTGCTTTGCCCTACGGAAGAGGCGAGGTCGTAGTAGAGGGGATTTGAACCCGGGATAAGGGTTCCCAACCGTGCTCGTTCACCAACCACCCTAAGCCTCGGTGGGCCCTCCTTAAATGACAAAAGTTACAAAAATTTAATATATTTGTTTGCTAATTTAAATGAGTTTTTAAGCACCGCTTTTTAAAAGTTCCTTTATAGTTTACTACTTTGGCCCTATATATTTTTTCATGTCTTTTGCTTTTTTTTTTAATTCTCATATCTTCAAGTTTTAATATTTTTATAATTTGAGATATATCAATGAGTATTACTTGGTGTTGGATCATTCACGGTATATAGAGGGTTTATTGTCCAAGATTTGTACGAAAATCCAATACACAGACATATGAGAGGCAAGGAGAGGGTGCAACAATCATAAAAGATACTAAATTTTTTTACATGAAAAACCCAGGAAAGAAAAAAAACCATAAGGTATGTCCCAATTAAAATGATTTCACTAGTTTTTGTTGTTCATTACAAATGATGTCCTTCCTTGGGGAAGGGTGACTCAATGTTGTAAATATACATCATATAAAGCACATTTTATAATTGGAGTTGGACGAATCCAATGACATGAGAGCTGCCCTCAAAAGAATGTTAACCTATTCGTTTGATCCATAGGATCGTAGTTAGGCGATGATTGTAGTCGGAGGGTGATTGTGGTCTGAGGATCGTAGTTGGTGGGCGTTTGAGGTAAAAAAAAAAAAAAAATTTGTGGTCAGGAGATGGTGGTTCGAGGACTGTAGTCGAGCAACGATGACCTGAGGATTATAATTGGTAGGCGATTGAGGTTGGATAGATTGTAGTCAGGAGACAGAGGTCGGAGGGGTCGCAGTTGAGTAATGATGGTCCAAGGGGCCATGGTTGGAGTTGACAGGTGATGGAGGTCGAAAGGATCGTACTCGGCAAATGACAGAGGTCAAAGGGACTGTTGTCGGATGATGTCAGTCTATGGAATATAGTCAGCATGCGAATGAGGTCGGAGCACTGTTGTCGAGTGACGAAGGAAGGAGGAATCATAGTTGGATGGTGGTGGTCAGAGGGATCATAGTCACGCAACAATGATTTGAAGGATCATAGTCAGGTGACAACAATTTGAGGACCATAGTTGGCGGGAAACTAAGGTCGGATGGATTGTAGTCGTGCGACAGAGGTCAGAGGGATCATAATCAGTAGGCGACAAAGGTTGAAGGGATGTTGGTCGCCAGATGATGGATGTTGGAGAGACCGTAGTCGGGTGAAGAAGGTTGAAGGGATTGTAGTCGTCTGACGATAGTCCAAGGACGATCGTTGGGCGTTGATGGTTGGAGGGATCATTGTTGAGTGATGCTAGTTGGAGGTATTGTACTCAGGCAACGATGTTAAAATGGACTATAGTCAAGTGATAGTGATCTTAGGGTAGTGGTTGTCCGATGAAATGCTTGAAGTTTGAGGTTTAGTTGCTATCAGCTAGTAAAAGTTTGATGTCCGCGATTAGAAGGCAAAAGTTCGGTGACGACAACTGGGTGCAAGGCTTGACTAGAACATTAAGGTAAAGGAGATCCTATGGTGGCGGTTGAGCAATGAAAGTTTCGCCGGTGGCCTGGCAGAGCTCTTACGGTGATGGCCGATAAGAGGTTCGATGGCGAGGGTTTGTCAACGATTGTGCTTTGGTGGAGCTTCAAAATTCTTTGAGCCACGAAAACTCTCTTGAGTCTCTAGCCCAAGATCCAAGCCCCTCATCATGCTAAGGTGGAGGCCTATTTATAAATTTTTAAGAGTGACATGCTCTCTAAATATGAAGAAGATATAAAGTAAATTTGGAGTGCTGCTTCAGACGACCCATATTGATCCTCCTGATTATTGATCATTTCTCCATCATTTATCTGCCTAAATGGTGTCATAAGCAAACAATCTTGGGTTCATTGGATTCGTCTCGACAAGTCACTCGATTTGACTATAGGCATGCTATATTTAGATATTATGTGCTCACCCAATTAATATTTTTAAGCTTCCAATTATAGTTCAAACTATTGATTTGAGCCCATTTGGGCTTGTATTTGACTGATTTTTGTGTCGTTTGGTTCTTTTCATTGAGACAATTAGTTTGACAATGAGGTTGTTGAAATTAGAGTTTTGATGGTCTCAAATTTAATTTTAAAAATTTCTAATTCTAATATGGCTTGAGATTCGTTTATGATCAAGATGATTTTTAGTGATGTATATCAAGTACAATGGCCTGACCCTTAATTTCTCAAAAGAATATATATGAAATATACATTAATTTGATGTGAAAGAAAGAAAGTTAATAAACGATAATTAAAACAGTTTTGAGATATATTTTTTTAATAATGTAAGAGGTAGAATAAAATTTATTTAGCTATGAGAAATTGAGATTTTCATGAGCTTAAATCTTCCTAATTAATCATATGAGTGTCATCCTTTAGATCAACTTAATTTAGCTAAGGTCATTAATCAACTGGTTATGTGCTCCATAAAAGAATTTGAGTAAAAATCACATACCTCATATAGAGGAGAAATTATTCTATGGGGATATTAAACCCTTCATAGGCAAATCAGAGTGCGCCACATTACCTAGTACACAGCCGCGATACACAACAAATGGGTGACGTAACCCTTCATTTAGGTCCGCTTTCTTACTAAAAATAAATTTTTAGTTAAGAAGCTATAAAAAAGTCATCCCAAATAAAGTCATAATTTTCTTGATGTAAATAACTGAGAGAAAATACAATCCCATGCGATGAAAATAGAGATGACTCTAGAAAAGAAGATATTATTACTGTTGCTATTATAGTCCATTCTCGACTGTTAGAGTTTTCCATGTCTTCTTCCCTATAGTACAAGAGAGCTTTTCTCTATTTGTAGTTGAAAGCTTAAGCACCCCTCTTGAGAGATTATTACGTGTGGCGTCCAAACGGGAGAACTGTCCGGATTTTGTGGGTGTGCACGGTAAAAGACTCTCATAGAATTCGGACGCAACTCCGATCCAATCCGGACTCTCCACGTGATAATCTCTCCTCTCCTTCACACACACTCACCCTTCTTCCATACTGACAAGATCACATGAGAACAACAATAGATGGTGACATTTTCCAACATTTCTCTCCTCGACAATGAAAGCACACAACTCCACCTAATGTCAACGTACTTTTTCATTAATCAAAGAAATAAATGACCGTAAAACTCAACCCAGAAACACTTCTCCCCTCTCATTCAGCTTCTAAAATTGAAGAAAACAGAACGTGAAAAAGAAAAGCTTTGTCTTCATCTACCAGCTTCTGTCATTTAATACACAATTCTTATCAGGATAAAACATGCAATTTACAGAAATATGGGGACTATAAGCTTTATATAAGGCTTGTTGTTATTGTTCTTTGAGTAGCCATGGCTTCTCTGTTCTTCTTCTTCTTCTTCTTCTGTCAGCTTCTTTCGGGTTTGGGAAGGAGTTTCGTTGCCGGAGCAGGTCAGGTTCCGGCCATGTTTGTGTTTGGCGATTCATTAATCGACCCAGGAAATAACAATCATCTATTAACAAGGGCCAAGGCCAACTTTAGACCGCATGGTATAGATTTTCCAGAGGGGACGACTGGAAGGTTTTGCAATGGTGGAACACTCGTTGATCATTTGGGTATGATTTTTTTTTTTAAATATAAATAAGATCTAAAATGCAAAGTTTACTCTGTAATGCAACGGCCAAATTTTGAAAAAGAAAAAAAAATCAAGGTCCAGTTATACTGACATATTTAGTTCAGAAAATTATATCGTTATTTGAATTTTGCTAAAATAATACATCAATGAGAAATTAGTTCAATAAGTTCATAATTTTTTTAATGATTTTTTACATTATAGAATGGGGAGGAACACGAGGGCAAAACTCATGTAAGAAAAAAGGATTGAAATCAACACATTAATTCTTCTTTTCACAATTCTTTACAATTGTATGCATCCAAAGGTGCACTTACTATTCCTCCTAAGTAGTTTATTATTATTATTATTATTATTCATTTTTCAATTTGAGCATAAAAAAAATACAATTTTCTTGTTAAATTTAAATAAGAACTTGACTCTTCACAAGACACAATAGAGAAAAAAGATTTATGTAGCAAACTATATATTGTGGGATAAAAACTTGACATTATTTTTATTGATGTTGTTGATCTGAGTATATACTTAGGAAAATAATTAAGTTAGGCTGATGAAGATATTTTGAAGGTTCTAAAATCGGTTAAATTTATTTTGAGATAATATAATATAAATTTTAGTTAATTTTCATATATTATATAAATTTTAAAATAAATCTAATAATTTTTTAGGTCCATTAAATCAAATTTTGATAATTATCTTCTCATACAAAATATTTCCTTATATGAATTCATCCAAAACATTAAATCCTTAAGGATATGTATGCATGATCGGTTACTTGTGTTAAGACAAAGGTGGTTTGACCATGTAGTTTCCTAGTTTAGTTTGATTACATCGAGGATTAGCCTTAAGCCCATATCTTTTTTGCTTTAGTCATGAATGTTCTCACTAGATAATTGCAAGAGATTGTACCTTGATGTATGCTTTTTGCTGATGATATTCTTCTTGTTTATAAGACTAGAGAGGGAGTTGAAGGTAAACTTGAATTATGGAGATCAACCTTAGAATCTAAAGACTTTCGTTTGAGTAGATTTAAAACTAAATATATTGAGTGTAATTTTAGTAATAATAGTTCTTATGAGGGGGATTGTGACTTTGGGTGATCAAGTCATTAATAAGAGTACACGCTTTAGATATCTTGTGTCTATAGTTCAGAGTGATGGTAAAATAGATGGGTATATTATTAGTAGAATTCAAGTTGGATGGTTGAAGTGGAGGAATGAATCGGTCTTGTTATATGATAGAAAGTCCCCCTCAAACTTAAAGGAAAATTCTATAAGATGGTGGTTAGATCAACAATATTTTATGGTGTAGAACGTTATCCATTAAAAGAGAAGCATAATAATAAGTTAAGTGTTGAAGAGATGAGGATGCTCAGGTGAATGAGTGACATTACTTTTAGAGACATGATATAAAATGAGCATATACATGAAAAGGTTGGAGTAGCTCCAATGGAAGATAAGATTTGAGAGTCACCTTAGATGTTTTGTTCACATAAAACGGAGGTCTTCTGATGACCCAGTTAGGAAAATAGATATATTATATTTGACTTCTGTTAAGAAAGATAGAGGTAAACCTAAAAAAACTTCGTCATAAAATATTAGAAATGATATTTCTTTATTATATTTAAGTGATAATTTAACTTTTAACATAGCACAATGGAGAAAAAGAATTCATATAGCCAATACCACATAGTAGGATAAAGGCTTGATGTTATTGTTGTTGTTTATGAATTCATATCATAATTTAATATATTGCCATAAAACTCAACATGAGAGTTAAAAAAAAAAAAAATAAATTGACTTGCATGATATACTCTATGTCCATAAGGGCACTTCCATCCATATATTCATGCAACCCCGCACGTGTGTAGCACACATGCTCGACAGCGCTAAAAAATTAAAGAGATTTTTCCCTCGTAGGTTATCTTTTGGGACTTCCTCTGATTCCAGCATTCAACAATCCAGACACACATGGCATTGCAATACTTCAAGGAGTTAACTATGCCTCTGCAGCATCTGGAATTCTCAATGACACTGGAGAAAATTTTGTATGCAGCAACTTCTAACTTAATTTTGGTTGCAGATTTCTTGATAACTTCATAGATCTTCATATCCTCTCTCTCTCTCTCTCTCTCTCTCTCTCTCTCTCATGATTGACCTTCCTTGGATATCAGGGAATGCGCATCCCCATGGATGAACAGCTACAAAACTTCAATGCAACAATACAAGAACTAAGCACAATGCTTCTTGACAAGACCCAAGACCACATAAGAAGATCTCTCTTCTATGTAGCTCAAGGCAGCAATGACTATATCAATAACTATCTCTTACCACTTTCAAAAATACATTACGAATACACCCCTGAAGCTTTCACCAATCTACTCATTCAACAATTTGGAAGACAACTCAAGGTAAGACAAAAAACTCGCCTTTATTACTAGACAAATATGATAAAGCAAGGAATTCTAAACCTTTTTTGCTTTGGTAAATGTCAGTATTTGTATGATTTGGGTGTGAGGAAATTCTTGATAGTCAATATCAGTCCTACCGGCTGCATACCGAACCAGTTGGCAGCGCAGGAAAGTGATACAGGTGCGTGTGTTGAATCAGTCAATCTATTGGTATCTCACTATAACAGAAAGCTTAAGGAGATGGTTGATCAGTACAATGCACAGCTCAAGGAATCAACATTCCTCTACTGGGATGCATTCTCCTTTGGCATCAATGTCATCCAAAACTATGCCAACTATGGTAATCATCTTAACCCATTGAAATACATAACAAAAGATGTCAAGTCATTAATGTTTACTAAAGCTTAACCCTTGTCATTCATGATGAAGGCTTCAAGAACCAAAACACAGCCTGCTGTGGTGGCGGCAAATGGAAAGGTCAGATCCTCTGTTTACCAGTTTTTACTCCATGCCAAAACCGGTCAGAGTATGTGTTCTGGGATCCTTACCATCCTACAGATGCTTTCAATGTTATTGCATCGAAGGATCTATACCAAGGAAATCTGCAAGCCTCATTCCCAAGGAATGTTCAGCAGCTAGTTCAAAGCTAGGAATGTGTTAGACCCGACGGGACCGGCTTACGCGAAGTTCGGCGGAAGTCTCCGCCTCTTGTACGCAGGAGCCGACCGCTCGGTCTTCACAAAATCAATTTGGAAGGATTTCTTAGGTATATATATATGGATATAGTATCTTTGCATTGGCAGGATACAATCCGGAAACATTTAAATATTCACCTCAAAAAACTTATTACATTAATGGAACTCTAATAAATAACTTTCATATTTTTGGATTTGACCTACTTTGAGCTTCCTTACACCAACAAGGAAAGTAACAATTGGGTGGGTGAAATATACATTTGATGTGAAAGAAAGAAAGTTAATAAACGACAATTAAAACAGTTTTGAGATATATTTTTTTAATAATGTAAGAGATAGAATAAAATTTATTTAGCTATGAGAAATTGAGATTTTCATGAGCTTAAATCTTCCTAATTAATCATATGAGTGTCATCCTTTAGGTCAACTTAATTTAGCTAAGGTCATTAATCAACTGGTTATGTGCTCCATAAAAGAATTTGAGTAAAAATCACATACCTCATATAGAGGAGAAATTATTCTATGCGGATATTAAACCCTTCATAGGCAAATCAGAGTGCGCCACATTGCCTAGTACACAACCGCGATACACAACAAATGGGTGACGTAACACATTCTGATTTGCCTTCAGGTATCGTTCGTATCCCCACAAAATAAATTCACCACATAGACGGTCATATTACTGAAAGCAAAAAAGATGATTATAAACGGCTGCTTTTTTTCTTTTTTTTTTTTTAATTCTTAGGCGATGATGTTGGAACACACTTTGAATTAATAAAGATAGAGATATATGTTTCATTTGGGTCGGTTTTCTTACTACTTAAAATAATTTTTTAGTTAAAAAACTATAAAAAAGTCATCCCAAATGAAGTCATAATTTTCTTGATGTAAATAACTGAGAGAAAATACAATCCCATGCGATGAAAATAGAGATGACTATTGTAGTTGAAAGCTTAAGCACCCCTCCCGAGAGATTATTGCGTATTCCGAGAGATTATTATGTATTGTAGTTGAAATCTTAAGGACCCCTCTCGAGAGATTATTACGTGTGGCGTCCGGACGGGAGAATTGTCCGGATTTTGTGAGTGTGCGTAGTATAAGCGCAACAAAAGATTCTCACAGAATTCGGACGCAACTCCGATCTGAACTTGGCACGTGATAACCTCTCCTCTCCTTCACACACACCCACTCTTCTTTCATACTGACAAGATCACATGAGAACAACAATAGATGGTGACACTTTCCTACATTTTTCTCTTCAACAATATGTTAACGTACTTTTTCATTAATCAAAGAAATAAATGACCTTAAAACTTAACCCAGAAAGAGTTCTTCCCTCTCATTCAGCTTCTAAAATTGAAGAAGACAGAACGTGAAAAAAAAAAAGGTGTCTTCCTCTTCCAGATTCTGTCATTTAATAAACAAGTGTTATCAGGATAAAACATGCAATTTACTAAAGTCATTTATTCCTATGCAGCAGAAATATGGGAATTAAGCTTTATATAAGGCTTGTTGCTATTGGTCTTTGAGTAGCCATGGCTTCTCTGTTCTTCTTCTTCTGTCAGCTTCTTTTGAGTTTGGGAAGGAGTTTCGTTGCCGGAGCAGATCAGGTTCCGGCCATGTTCGTGTTTGGCGATTCATTAATCGACCCAGGAAATAACAATCAGCTATTAACACTGGCCAAGGCTAACTTTAGACCGCATGGTATAGATTTTCAAGAGGGGACGACTGGAAGGTTTTGCAATGGTGGAACAGTCGCTGATCATTTGGGTAAGCTTTTTTTTTATATATAAATAAAAATAAGATCTAAAATGCAAAGTTTATTCTGTAATGCACCTGCCAAAATTTGAAAAAATAAAAAATAAAAATAAAAAAATCAAGGTCCAGCAATACTGACATATTTATCAAATTTCCTTTCACATGTAGTAATATGCATCATTCTCGTTTATTTTGCGCACTTTTGAATGAATTTTAGCTTAGGAGAAAATTATATCGTTATTTGAATTTTGCTAAAACAATACATTAATGAGAAATTAGTTCAATAAGTCCATAAATCTTTTCACAATTCTTTTTTTTTTTTTTTAAATCTTTTCACAATTCTTTACAACTGTATATGCATCCAAAGGTCCACTTACGTTTCCTCCTTAGTAGTATATTATTATTATTATTATTATTATTATTTCCTTTTTCGATTTGAGCATAGAAAAAAAATGTCTTTTTTTGTTAAATTTAAATGAGAACTTGACTCTTCACAACACAATAGAGAAAAAAGTTTCATGTAGCAGATCACAGTGTAGTGGGTTAAAGACTTGACATTATTTTTATTGATGTTGTTGATCTGAGTATATACTGAGGAAAATAATTTAGGCTGGTGAAGATATTATGAAGGTTTCTAAAATCCATTAAATTTATTTTGAGATGATATAATATAAATTTTAGTTAATTATTCATATATTATTCAAATTTTAAAATAAATATAATAATTTTTTAGATCCATAAAATCAAATTTTGATCACCATCTTCTCATACAAAATATTTTCCTTATACGAATTCATCCAAAAACATAAATCCTTGAGGATATGTATGCATGATATATTACTTGTGTTAAGACACAAGGTGGTTTGACCAAGTATTTTCCAATTTTAGCTTGATTACATCAAGGATCAGCCTTAAGCCTATATCTTTTTTGCTTTAGCTATGAATGTTCTCACTAGACATTTGCAACAGATTGTACCTTGGTGTATGATTTTTGCTGACGATATTCTTCTTATTGATAAGACTAGAGAGGTAGTTGAAGGTAAACTTTAATTATGGAGATCAACCTTAAAGTCTAAAGGCTTTCGTTTGAGTAGATTTAAAACTGAATATATGGAGTGTAATTTTAGTAATAATAGTTCTTATGGGGGGATTGTGACTTTGGGTGATCAGGTCATTAATAAGAGTTCACATTTTAGATATCTTGGATCTATTATTCAAAGTGATGTGAATAGATGTGGTCCTGTGGATATTATTAGTGGAATTCAAGTTGGATGGTTGAAGTAGAGGAATGCATCAGGCTTTTTGTGCTATAAAAAAAAACCCTCAAACTTAAGGGAAAATTCTATAAGATGGTGGTTAAACTTGCAATGCTTTATAGTGCATAATGTTGGCCATTAAAAGGGAAGATAAGATTAGAGAGAGTCGCCTTAGAAGTTTTGATCACAAAAAACAACAGCCTTCCGATGACCAAGTTAGGAAAGTAGATGTATTAGGTTTGACTTATGTTAAGAATGATAGAGGTAGATCTAAAATGACTTGGTTAGAAAATATTAGAAATGATATTTTTTTTATTAGATTTAAATGATAATTTGACTTCTAACATAGCTCAATGGAGAAAAAGAATTCATGTAGCCAATCCCACAGTGGGATAAAGGCTTGATGTTATTGTTGTTGTTTATGAATTCACATCATAATTTAATATATTGCCATAAAACTCTCCATGAGAGTTAAAAAAATAATTTAATTTGACTTGAAAAATCCTATATTTCCATAAGGGCACTTCCATCCATATGTTCATGCAACCCCGCACGTGTGTAGCACACATGCTCGACAACACAAAAAAATTAAAGAGATTTTTCCCTCGTAGGTTATCTTCTGGGGCTTCCTCTGATTCCACCATTCAACAATCCAGACACACATGGCATTGCAATACTTCAAGGAGTTAACTATGGCTCTTCAGCATCTGGAATTCTCAATGACACTGGAGAATTATTTGTATGCAGCAACTTCTTACTTAATTTTGGTTGCAGATTTCTTGATTACTTATGATTGACCTTCCTTGGATATCAGGGAAAGCGCATCCCCATGGATGAACAGCTACAAAACTTCAATGCTACAATAGAAGAACTAAGCACAATGCTTCTTGACAAGACCCAAGACCACATAAGAAGATCTCTCTTCCTACTAGCTCCAGGCAGCAATGACTATATCAATAACTATCTCTTACCACTTTCCAAAAGACGTTCCAAATACACCCCTGAAGCTTTCGCCAATCTACTCATTCAACAATTTGGAAGACAACTCAAGGTACGACAAAAAAACTCGCCTTTATTACTAGACAATTATGATAAAGCAAGGAATTCAAAACCTTTTTGCTTTGGTAAATGTCAGGATTTGTATGATTTGGGCGCAAGGAAATTCGTGATAGCCAATATCAGTCCTATCGGTTGCATACCGAACCAGTTGACAGCGCAGGACAGTGATACAGGTGCGTGTGTTGAATCAGTCAATCTAATGGCATCTCACTATAACAGAAAGCTTAAGGAGATGGTTGATCAGTACAATGCACAGCTCAAGGAATCAACATTCCTCTACTGGGATGCATTCTCCTTTGGCATCAATGTCATCCAAAACTATGCCAACTATGGTAATCATCTTAACCCATTGAAATACATAACAAAAGATGTCAAGTCATTAATGTTTACTAAAGCTTAAGCCTTGTCATTCATGATGAAGGCTTCAAGAGCCAAAACACAGCCTGCTGTGGCGGCGGCAAATGGAAGGGTCAGATCATCTGTTTACCAGTTCTTTCTCCATGCCAAAACCGGTCAGAGTATGTGTTCTGGGATCCTTACCATCCTACAGATGCTTTCAATGTTATTGCATCGAAGGATCTATACCAAGGAAATCTGCAAGCCTCATTCCCAAGGAATGTTCAGCAGCTAGTTCAAAGCTAGGAATGTTTAGAAAGGAAGTCAAAGAACTTCAAATGGTGAAACTTGTGAAGTTCAAGAGAACAGTTGCCTACTTCTAATCGATAGCTCAACATGGCTGCCTTTGCTCTAATTGTCATTTTTATACTAATGATGCTCGGCTACTTGCGAATGCGATGACCGAAGAAGCATGGAATATTATTAGTAACAACAAATAAGACTTGACATTAGAATATGTTGCCATGTATATTACCTTATATATTGCCATTACATATACGTTCTATAAATAGGTTAATGTACTGTATTATCAGAAAGAGAAATAAAGAATACTTTTCCTTTCACTGTTTACACGTCTTCTTCTTCTTCCCAATCTGTTCTTGCGGGAAACTTAAATCCAAAGTTTCTACATGGTATCAGACATGGCTTGACGATTCCGGCGACCACAATGTCTTCCTCCACCACCTCTCCCAACGATGCTTCTTCCGATGAAGTCCTCACGGCATATCCGGTTCTGTCTTCTTCCCTTAAGTTCATTCTTTCGAACCTCAAGAACATCGTGCAAAATCAGTTGTCTCCGGACAACTACCCTTTATGGCGATCGCAGATCCTCAAGATCTGTCGAGCCAACAACTACGACCCATATCTAGACTCGGATTCTCCGATTCCTGATAAACATATCATCTCCTCTACCGGCCAATCTCGCCCCAATCCACTATATTCCCAATGGCGTCTCAATGATCAGAATCTTGCGGCAGCTATATGCTCTACAATTTCTACCTCTATCTTGCCCTATGTACTCGATCTTGATTCTACATCAGCAATTTGGACTGCTCTACAAACAAGATTCCAAGCTACCAATAGATCCAAGGTCATTCAACTCAAGAATGAATTCTATCACACTACTCTCAAGAACTCTACCATGCTGCAGTATCTCAACGAAATAAAATCACTCGTTGATCAAATTGCGGCAGCAGGTTCTCAGATTGAGCCTGAAGATATCATTCATCATATTTTAAATGGGTTACCTCCGGCCTATCACTCGTTTAAAACTACCATTCGCACTCTGGCACAATCTTTTACGCTTGATCAATTATACTCACTACTCATTAGTGAGGAAATCCACATTGCATCCGATGCGGCAAGATTTCAAACGCCAGCAGCTCAGGATACGACACTCTATTCCTCAAGGGGCCGCGGTCGTCGCGGCAAAGGCAGAACTAATGGATCAAGAACTACCTCTTCCCAACCGCAAATACTTTGCCAGATCTGCTACAAACGCGGGCATACGGCGTCTGAATGCTGGCACAGACTCAATGCTCAGTATGTATCGACACCACCAAAGCCATCCTCCAAAGCGCTTGTAGCTGACACAACTTCATCTTCTAACGACTGGTATCTCGATTCGGGAGCTACGTCCCACATGACGAAATCTCTGGAGAACCTATCAGTTTCGAATCCATATCAGGGAACGGACGGAATTACTATCGGCGACGGGAGCTCCGTTAGCATAGCCCACTCCGGCAAAGGTGTGCTATCGACTCCCTCTCGTAAGCTATCTCTGTCTTCTCTTCTACACACACCAGATTTACAATATAATCTACTATCCATCTCTAAATTAACACGAGACAATAACATTTCTATCTTGTTTGATCCTAACGGCTATGTCTTGAAGGACTTGACGAATCATTGCATTTTGCTTAAGGGTCCGTGCAAGAATGGACTCTATCCTATCACCATGCCGGCGGCCAACTCTTCCCTTAGTGCTCTTCTTGCAACTAAGAAGAACGACACGGTCTGGCATGACCGTCTGGGGCATCCAAACAAGAAAGTGCTTGATCGAATTGCTCACTGTAATCCGGATTTACGCATTAATAAACTGTATGGCGTCTGTCATTCTTGTCATTTGAACAAGGGACATAAACTTCCTTTTGATATGTCAACTAGCAGAGAAAACAAGGCTTTAGCTCTTATTCATTCTGACGTGTGGGGTCCCGCTCCCATGTCATCTAACACTGGCTACGTATATTACGTTATTTTTGTTGATAATTACTCACGCTATACCTGGATTTTTCCATTACGACACAAAACTGAAGTTCTTGCTGCATTTACTACTTTTAAAACTTATATCGAACACGCTCTGTCATCCAAAATCAAAGCGTTTCAGTCAGATGGCGGCGGTGAGTATATCAATACTCAATTCACTCAGTTTCTCAGAACACATGGCATCAAGCATCGCATCTCATGTCCGTATACACCTGAACAAAACGGTGTATCTGAACGTAAGCACCGGCATATTGTGGAAATGGCTCGAACTCTGCTTCACAAAGCGTTCATTCCGCTTACCTATTGGCCCGATGCCATGTTAACTGCTGTTCACTTAATTAACAGACTACCCAGTCTGGCTACAAATAATATTTCGCCTCTTGAACTGCTGTTTAAAACGAAGCCAGACTACAAATCGCTTAAAACTTTCGGTTGCACTTGCTTTCCATTAACACCTCCACCGCAACGTCACAAACTTCTTCCTAAAGCACAACTGTGGGTTTTCTTAGGCTACTCGGACACTTACAAGGGCTACAAATGCCTTAATATTAGTAACAATAAGATTTTATTTTCTCTTCACGTAACATTTGATGAATCAGTTTTTCCATTTACAGCTCATACCACTAATGCGGCACCTGAACCTGACTCAATCTCGCCTCTGTTTCTCACTCCTGTTTCGGTAAGCAGAAATAAATCTAATTCGAATGGCACCGTCGCCAACACTCCTGCTCTCCCGTCTCCACCTATCCCGGCTGCATCCCCAAACTGTTCCAGAGTCATTCCAATTCAGTCATCTCAGAAGGCTTCTCAACCAAATCCAGCTCCTACTCATCCTATGGTTACAAGAGGTAAAACAGGGTCACTTAGACCCACACAACGCCTAAATTTGTTTCACTCTATCCATCAAACAGATACTCTGAAGGCTCCCTCCACGTACAATGAAGCAAACAAATCTCTGGATTGGCGACGCGCCATGGCGGAAGAATTCTTTGCATTACAAACCCAAGGTACATGGACTCTAGTTCCACAACCACCGAACTCATCAGCTTTAGGATGCAAATGGACATATCTCCTCAAACTTCACTCCGACGGCTCGATAGCTAAGCATAAGGCGTGATTAGTTGCTCAAGGTAATCATCAAGAATACGGATTGGATTACACAGAAACATTCAGTCCGGTGGCGAAACTGCCCACCATTCGCATCCTTCTCACCGTGGCATTACAAAACGACTGGCCGATTCATCAATTGGATGTTGCTAACGCCTTCCTTCACGGATCTCTCTCAGAGACCGTGTACATGAACCAACCAAAGGGGTTCGAAGACGCTATCCATCCAGATCATGTTTGTTTACTTCACAAAACCATTTACGGGCTTAAACAAGCACCTCGCCAATGGTATAACACACTAACCTCTTTTCTAGTCTCTCTCGGGTTCTCTCACAGTCAATCGGATCCGTCGTTACTTTTGTTTACTAAAGATAAAATAAAATTGTTTTTAATAATTTATGTGGACGATATACTTCTAACGGGTAATGACACGTTTGCTCTTAGCAATACTATTACTCAGCTTCAACAAAAGTTCCGCATGAAAATTCTTGGACAGGTAAATTCATTCCTTGGTATAAATATAAGCAGGAAACCAGAGGGCTACTTCCTCTCTCAACAACTATACGCACAGTCCATTCTTCAAACAGCCCAGCTCACTGATTGCAAACCTCTATCCAACCCAACCTATACCAAATTACCGCAGGTTCTGCCCTCAGATCCAGTACTTGACGATCCAGCAATGTACCGCCGTATAACTGGCTCACTCCAATACCTGACACTTACGAGACCTGACATCTCGTTCAGCGTCAACTTACTTTCACAACACATGCATCAACCTCAACCTACTCACATTTATCTTCTAAAACGACTGCTACGTTACATTCAAGGTACGCTCCATTATGGTATTCCAATTCTTAAATCTAACTTACGGTTATCGGCATATTCTGATGCAGATTGGGCAGGCGACCCGATATCCAGGAAATCGACGTCCGGCTATTGCTCGTATCTCGGTGACACGTTAATCTCATGGACAGTAAAGAAGCAGACAACCGTAGCTCGCTCGTCTACAGAATCTGAATACCGCTCCTTAGCGTCTCTGGCGGCTGATTTCATTTGGATACGTCGCATTCTGTCTGACTTCGGTATCAATCAAGATACCCCCACGGACCTCTACTGTGACAACACATCGGCAATTGCTTTAGCGAATAACCCGGTCTTCCATGCACGAACGAAACACATAGAGATTGATCATCGGTTCGTTCGTGATCACATCCAACAAGGGACAATTCGCATTCTGGCATTAGCACAAAAGCTCAAATTGCCGATATATTGACGAAATCCCTCTCCACACCAAGATTTCATGAATTAAGGGCCAAACTGAATGTCATACCAGACCCCCAGTTTGTGGGGGGATATTAGTAACAACAAATAAGACTTGACATTAGAATATGTTGCCATGTATATTACCTTATATATTGCCATTACATATACGTTCTATAAATAGGTTATTGTACTGTATTATCAGAAAGAGAAATAAAGAATACTTTTCCTTTCACTGAATACAAGTCTTCTTCTTCTTTCCAATCTATTCTTGCGGGAAACTTAAATCCAAAGTTTCTACAAATATCACATATAACATCTTTAAAAATATAAAAAAGGGTAAACTCTATTTTGTGGAAAAACAAAGAACAAGGCCTAAAATTCATTTAATTAAGTTCACACTGAAAAAGCAATCCCACTTCATTTTCATAGTTTCAATCAAAGAACAATTTTAACATTAAACATGTAATTCATTTTGCGTGTAACCATTTGAAGCCGTGTATGCGGTAGTTGTTACGAACAAATTACCTGTTGCATGACACGAATATCCAACTGATTACTGTCATTGCTTATGCAAATAGGGATCCACAATGACTTGGGGAATGAAATCTGGTTTCAAGTACCGTGAAAGCAAATCCGCATATAATTCATAACGAGCAGTCATTCGAAAGCCCCATTTATCCTTTAACTGTCTGCAAAGATTCAAGTCCATGTCAGAGACTAGCAAACCATCTCTATATCTTGACAGAGATGGAGTGCAAGATGCATCTGGGGATGAAAAATAACTAGATCCATAGAAGTGTCCAAAATCTGAATGCTGAGGTTTTCCATCACCAGATGTAAATGGATTTGGAAATGCCTCAGTCCCAACACGATTGATCGAACCAACAAAATAACTATTTGCTATTGCAGCATTTCTTGCCTGTAAAGAAGGGTTTAAAATGTTAAAAAAAAAAAATTCATATAAATAAAAATTCAAATGAGCTTCAAACAAAGATTTTGAGAAGCAAGCAAAAAATGAAATTGCATAAAAAACAACTAAAAATAAAGGATATGGGAATGCACCTCAATTGGCCACATTGGTTCGCTCAACTCTCCAACAGTAGCAGAAGGGTTGAAAACGATTTCAGCTCCATTCAATCCAAAAGCTAACCAATTTAAAGGATGGTGCCTTCCATAACAAATATTTACAGCAATCTTCCCATAGCAAGTTTCAAACACTGGATGACCTGTGTTTCCTTCCATGTAGTATGTGCTCTCGTTGAAATCCCCAACTCTAGGAATGTGATTCTGGCTCAATCAAACACAAAAAGAATGACTATATAGAAAAATATACAATGAAACTAAAAATAAGAAGAAAGTGCAGCACCTTTCGATGTATACCAATGATGTTGCCATTGTTTCCTATAATCACAGCAGTATTCCAGAGAACTTCTCCATGCTTAGCATCCCTTTCTAGAATTGGGTTCACTATGACCATACTGTACTTTCGAGCCAAGTCTTGAAGAAACTGTGTACATTCTCCATCAATTGGTTCTGAAAATTCACACCATCTTTTCTCTCGTGTGCAAAAGGCAAATGGCATCATCCATGCTTCCTGCATTCACAATACAATTCTATAAATCTTAGACTTCCAAAATTCAAATCTTTTTACCATGTTCAGAACATACTTGCAAGCATATGATGTTAACACCAGAAGCACCAGCTGCATCAATCATAGATTTTACTTTGTGTATGATGGCCTTTTTCTGTTCATTAAAGGGTGCAGTAGTAGGAAGTGTGATAGAGTTTTGGATTAGGCCTACACGAACAACTCTAGGTTGCCTTAGCGACTCTTCGTCAGCACGGAAGCAAAAACCCTGCATAGGCAAATACCACATAGTTAAAATGAAATACGGATAACCTAGAACCTATTTTCTCGAAAGCATTACGAAGACAACCAGTGAGGTAAGTTATTAATAGAGTTACAAGAAGTTAAATATTTCTTACCAGTTCCATCAAAGCATAAAGCTTATTATTTTAATAACTTTTTAGCTGACGTGCATTATATAGCAGGGGAAAAACAACAATTCAATCCTTTTACAAAGTTTAAAACATATGATAGCAGAAGCATGACACATTTAGATTTCGTTTGGGCCAGCTTTTTTATTACTTCTTAAAGCAACTTTCTAGAACAAAAAAAATATTTTTTTTAATTAAAAAAATGCTTTAGGAAACAGGAAGAAAGCCGTCCCAATCGAGGCCTTATTTGGAATTAGTTTCAATGGACATTACGGTTGCTTCTTAGGAACATCAAGTAAAATGCTTCAGCATAAAAAAAGAAGAATGCAGCAGCAAAATAAATAAAAGGAACCACGAATAAGCATGATAGAACTGACCTGCAAATCAAAATCATATTTAGTGGACAGAGAGCCAGCAACCTGAGGCAGAAGAATGAGCTCAAGAGGCTTTCCGCAGTTCAATCCCAACAACATGCGACTCACTTCCTGCGAATTTGCATGAACAGTTGGAATAATCATTTTAATCAAACAAAACACCAACTATTCTCTCAAAACTATACATCATCATATTTTTACTTATTAAAATATTCTTGACAATAGAGGGAAAATTTATTGTCTTAAAAATATACAAAAATGTCATACACAGATAAAGAACGCACAACACAAAAGAGATTCTAATATTTTTTTTATAATCGTACACTGCATACCATACTCTGCATCGCATGTCCACAACAGATCAATTATTAATCACAACCGTAATAGCTAACATTTACCAGCTCTTACTTCATCTCTCTGCATTCTACTCCAATGTCTTCTACTACTCTACACAATAGAAGTAAATAAAGCAATAACACCACGACTACCAACTTGAGATTCACCAAATTGTTTCGTTTCATTAGTCAATCGGATCATCAAGATTCAGACCAGTAAATGGTCTCACCAAAAGTGGAACCTGATAAGAAAAAAAATTGAACTTCTATTTTCAGGGTAAAGGGTTAATCCCAATCCTTACGCGCTATACGATTTCAAGCTTCGGGCTGCAAGAGAATTGGCGGAAAGAAAATATAAAAAACAAAATTCCGTTTTTTTTTTTTAAGAAACCTGGAAGATTTCGGGTTCTAGGGAGGCCTCGAGAAGGCGATGGAGAGAGTCAAAGCCATGGATAGATCCCTCCGGTACTGTTCGAGCCAAAACCCTTTCTGCTGCCGCCTCTCCATTCTCCTTCTCTGCTTGCTTGCTTTTGAGATCCGTTTCCATAGATTTTTCGATCTTAGACCGGCGTCTTGTGGAAGAGAGCCCGTAGTCTGAAGTAGGAACGAGGAGAGGCAGCCGACGGCAACGCACGGACGAATCCGATTGAGAGACGCCTGTCCGCATAAAGATACATTATTCTGTGCGGATACGGACGACATCCGCCACGTCAACTTTTTTTGTTTTTTTCTGTGTACCCGGCTGTATGGTACCGGATGACATGGCGCCAGAATAATTTTTCCCGCATAAAAAGCTTGGCATGATTCTTTTATTTAGTTTCCTATTTTTAAAAAATATATTTTATTAATATTTTATAATATTTTTTTAAATGCATTAAATCATTTTAAGACATTCTCAAAAATATTTTTAATTATTTTACTTTCACCATCATTCAGTGGCATCGATCCACTAATTGCATCACCACTATCATCTTGTATTCACCGCCACCACTAGAGGTGTCAAAATCTGATTTGAACCGAAATCCGACTCAGAAAATTGCAGGTTCAGATCAGCCCATTTTTCATAAGCGTCGGGTTTGAGTTTGAGATTCCGACACATTTATAAAATCGGGTCGAGTTGACCCAGAAACCTAAAACCAATTCGAGTTGACTTGAAAATCTCGCTATTTTTCTAGACTCGCGTAGGAGACTAAGAGAGAATCCTTGTCAGCTACATGGCTTGCTTCCACCCGCATACCGCAAATCCCAGAAACCTTACTACGATCCGCAGTTCCCGTCAGAGTCGGCCAGTCCCGTAGTCCACAATAATCTGCACAGTCGTACGTAGGTCACCTGCAATTCGCTGACGCGTTCATGCATTGAGTGCAATTCAAATTCCCGCACCTATATCCGATCTTCGGCACTTGCCTCGAGTCAGGCCAAGCTTCCCATACCCCCACCCCGGTCCCCGCAGCTAGGTTCGCAAGTCATGCCAGGCCAACTAAGTAACTTGGCGGGTCGGGTCCGGGTTGGAATTCTTGACCTAGTTGTAAAATCGAAACATATTAGGGTAAACATGTTTGGACCTGAATCCGACTTGTTGACCCATTTTGACATCTCTAACCACCACCACAATGTTGCGTGTATTTAATATAGTCGTATAAACCGACTTATATGATTTCCAATAGAAATAAAGATAACTTTTATGTGTATTATGTCAAAATATAAATAAAAAAAATTTGATCCCAAATGACCAACAATGTAATATTAGTTTTAGTTTTCATTAAGGGATCATTTATTTTGCTAAAAAAATGAACACTGAATAAAAAAAGCATAGGTTTTCAAAACTTAGTTGTTTGGTTCGATGAAAAAAATAATGCAAAATAGTTTTATTGATGCATTTAGAATTCATAATTTAATTCATTTTTCAATGTATGTGAACTTGATCAAATTTGGCTAAATTTCAGATACAGTGCAAGACCACCGCCTACCCGATTGTCTAGCGCCCACTAACAGCCGCATGCCACTAGATGTTGTCACCCGTCTACCCGATTGTCCAGTCACCACTGACAGCCGCCTATCACTAGATGTTGTCACTTGCCCTCTGATGTCCATCATTTCTGAGTTTTATATTGAATTTATTTTACTTCAAACTAAACATAAAATCGTGATCTCCTTCATTTTTTTTACACTCAATTAAACAAATTAAAAAAATTTGTATACACTATATTTATTTACTATATATTTATTTTTCCTCAAACCAAATAGCCCTAAAATAAATATACATTTATATTTGATGATTTATTGGATATACTTACTTAGGGTTCATTTGTAGTTTTAGCCTTCTTTGGTTTGAAATAGTTGCAATAATTTTATTTCGCTATTAATTTTTTATTATATTTTAAAAAATTTATGTATTGAGAAGTAGATTTTTACAATTACTTGATCAGGTTGTTATCATGAGACTGTTTGTTTAACTGGCTTCCGCAATAGTTTTTCCTTGTTTGGATAGGTCATGGATTTCCTTATATCCCTAGTGAGGGGGAAGAAGGCTGAAATGGCAACATATTGATTTGTTTGATTTTTTTTTTAGTTCCTTTAATCTATTATTATTAGTAAAAGATCAGTGTATCTTAGGTTATAGTCCGATTATTGGTTATTTTAGGCTTGCTTTCTATGCTTTTTAAGCAACTTTTTAGTAAAAAAAATTTTTTTTTTACTAGAAATCAGCTTTAAGAAGTAGTAAGAAAGACGTCTCGAACAAAGTCTTAGGCTTCATTTGGGACTATTTTTTTCCTGCTTCTTAAAACAGTTTTTTAATACAAAAAAATTTAATTTTTGTATTAAAAAATTATTTTAAGAAGCAGGAAGAAAGTCATCCCAAACAAATCCTTAGTGAAGGGATGAAAGGTCATCATAAGTGTTTTTGGGGCTTAAGCCATCATAATATATCTTGCACTTTGTAATTTTAGTTTTGTTATTTATTTCTTAAACGCTTGTTTCTTTGTAATAATACTTTATTTATTTATTTTTTCATCCTTGTTTTTTTGTTAATAATACTTTATCTTGTTTTTTAAAGATATCTTATAGCCATTTCTGCTATATTGGAAAGTGAGATGTAATTTATAAATAGTTTTAACAAATTTATACTTAACATTTTGAATACTAGTATATCTTAAGTGTATTTTATATTCATATTTTCTTAATGAGCCGGCTCAAGAGCTTGAGTCTAGTCAGGACTAGCTGAAGATTGGCTCATTTACTCATCGGGCTCAATTCATGAGCCATTTATTGAGTCGTGTATGAGCTAGCTCATTGCTTGACTCACTTGGACCTCTAGTTCTAACAGTCTAATTTTGATCAATATATTTGAGGCTAAGCTCTTGTCATTCCAAAATTAAAAAAAAAAAAAAGAAACACATACAATAACAATCTCTAAAAGCATATTTATTTTTCTAAACTTTATTTATTTTTATTTTATATCTACTGTCTATCCTCTACCATGCCCCAAATGTCTTATCTCTCCTCCCTATCTCTTCCTTCATCTCCCTCTCTCGTTCTTCCTTCTTGAGGGAGTCACGAAGGTGAGGGAGGGATGACTTAATGCTTTAACTTTAATAGTTTAATATATATAATAACTCTTTTAGTGACCTAGTGCTACAATGTTCAGACGCAGTGCCTCATGTTGGATTCAGAATTACTGTAGAACGGAGACTCAAGTGTCGCGGCGGTGGATTTTGGCCCCGGTGTGCACACCAAAGCACAACGCTAAAGTGTTTTAGTTCAAATAGAAATTCAAATTTTATTTTAAAATATTTTTTCATATCTTTGGTCATTATAATCTATCCACCTTTAAAAAATATTGCCCTCAACATTTCTATGAACAAAAACAAACCGATGAAAACAAATTCAATTCTTAAATTCGCCAAAACAAATCAATACGATTCAAAACTAAATCAACATAAATTCATTCAAAATTTCAAAAACAACATTGATCACTGACTTATCATTCATTGCATTCACTCAATCACAATTTATGTATCTTTCCTAATCAATTAGCACACAAACTCAACAAACACACATATGCAAATCAATCAATTAAATGCGGAGTTGAAAATTTATACTACCCCACTCATAATCATTTCCTATGGCTCTAGTTGGTTACAATTCAAATATGACAACAACCGCTCTGATGCCAATTTAGTCACGCCCAAATGCATTCTCTCTCCCCCACTCTCTTCCATCCTCTCCCTCTCCCATTCTTCTTTTAAAGACGTTTTATGGTATTATCTCGATTATAGCTTATAATTGATGATCAATTACGCTGACGGGTAGAGAGTGACGACTTTTAATGATATATTAAAAGTCACATGTAATAATAATGATAAAGAAAATAATAATAATAATAATAAAGATGATAAAGATCAATGAATACAAATGAAAGATGATGAAAACACTACATTAAAGTTGAATGTCATACATTATTGAATCACATACTAAATCATATATACATTAATAGTTTTGACAAATTGAACTGTAATCTACAAAGTTAGCATCCTATGCGATTGATTGAACCAACAAAATAACTATTTACTTGATACGTCCTAAAAATTTTATCTTGACCGGGCACGAATCTCAATGCAAAATCAAGTTGGAAACTTCCAAAATTAAAATTGGGACCATCCAAATCTGATTTCAACAAACTTATAGTTGAACTGAATGTCTCGGAAATACAAACCCAACGACACCAAATTAGACTGAATCTGAGCCCAAATGGGTCCAAATCAAGGGTCTGAAGCGCTGTTGGAGGGTTTGAACCACAATTTCGATTACCAAATGGTTTTCAAACATGATGTGCTTATAATCGAATCGAGCGGCTCGACAAGACAAATCTAACGAGCCCAAGATCAGTGAATTCTAACATCACTAAGACATTCAAATGTCCATCAGACGGTCCATGATCAAGGGATTCAACATTGACAGTCCATCCAACCACTCCCCATTTACCCCTGATCTCTCAACTATTTACGGGTCATGTCACTCCAAAAATCTATAAATAGACCCCTAATTTCTCTTAAAAGGGAACTAAAATAATGAAGAAGAAAAAAAAGAGAAGGAAGAAGCTCCTCCTCGACCACCGCCGGACCACCACTTGAGGCCCTCACCTCCGTCGGATCACCGCCTGACGTCGTTGCTCCACCGAACCACCAATTGAGGCCCTCACCTCCGCTGGACCACCGCCTAACATCGTTACTCCGTCGAACCACCACTTGAGGCCTTGAGCTTCGCCGAACCACCACTTAAGGCCCTCACCTCCACCGGACCACCGGCTGACATCATTGCTCCACCGGACCACCACCTGACGTCGTTGCTCCGCCAAACCACCACTTGAGGCCTTGAGATCCACCAGACCACCACTTGAGGCCCTCACCTCAGTTGGACCACCGCCTGACGTCGTTGCTCTGTCGGACCACTGCTTGAATCCCTCACCTCCGCCGGACCATCACCTGACGTCGTTGCTCTACCGGATAACTACTTGAGGCCCTCACCACCGTCAGACCACCGCTTGATGTCGTTACTCCACCGAACCACCACATAAGGCCTCTACCTGAGGCATGGACTTCCGCCAAACCACTACTTGAGGCCCAGACTTCTTCCCGAACACCTGACACCTAGAGTTCTACCAGAGTACCGCCCTACAACAACGATCTTTCTGACCCCAATATCCTGCCAACTACAATCTTTCAGACCTTTGTCTTCTGCTAACTACGGTCCTTCCGATCTCTGTCGCATACTATGGTCCTTCCGACCTCCATCACTAGACAACAATCTTTCCGACCCCGGTCTCATGCCAACTACAGTCTTTCTAATCTCGATCTCTTGCATACTACGGTCCTTCCGACCTACATCGCTAGACAAATGGTCTTTCTGACCCCTGTCTCCTGCCGCCTATGGTCTTTCCGACCACCGTCGCCTACTATGGCCCTTCCGACCTACATCGCCAGACAACGTTCTTTCTGACCCCTGTTTCCTACCGCCTATGGTCCTTCCGACTTATGTCGCCTACTACGGTCCTTCAGACCTACATCACCAGACAATGGTCTTTCTGACCCCTGTCTCCTCCTACCTATGGTCCTTCCGACCTCCGTCACTTACTACGGTCCTTCCGACCTACATCGCCAGACAACAGTCTATCTAACCTCAGTCTCTTGTATACTACGGTCCTTCCGACCTACATGGCTAAACAACGGTCTTTCTGACCTCGGTCTCCTGCTAACTATGATCTTTCGGACATGTCTCCTGCTAACTATGGCCCTTCAAATTAAACAAACATATTTATGTTGATTATTGTAACTCCCACCATGTAATGTGCTCTATATGATGTACATTTGTACCATCAAACCCAGGCCTTCCCAAGGAAGGGTCTCATTTGTAATCCACTACAAATACTAGTGAATTCATTAAAACGGGCCAGGCCCTATGGTTTTTTCTCCTTTTCAGGGGTTTCCACGTAAAAACTTTGGTATCTCTTATGAACGCTATACTCTCTCTCTTATCTGCTTGTGTGTTGGATCTTCGTACAATGCTAAGACGTTAAACTATATATTTCTCCACCTGCCATGAATACTCCAGGATGCAACATTACTATTGCAACATTTCTTGCCTGTAAAAGAAGGGTTTGAAATGAAAAAAAAAAAAATCAAATAAATAAAAACTCAAATGAGCTTCAAACAAAGATTTTGAGAAGCTAAGCAAAAAAACAAAATTGCATAATAAACACCTGAAAATAGAGGATATTCGAACGTGCCTCAATTGGCCACATTGGTTTGCTTAAATATGTAGGAGTGCAGCTTATTCATAAATGTTAAATGGAATATTTTGATAATTTTCGACGAATCTAAGGACGTTCCATCACCCGAAAAGATCTCTATTTATCATTTTATATTTATTCGAGCATCCCGACTTGATCATAAACTCAAAATTAAATAATCGTAACGTTGTCAAATTCACCCCATCAAGACCATTATTTGAATATAAGAATGTAAAATGAAAATGATGTTCGACCCACAAATGGCATCGAGAAGTTTTCAATAATTCTTCGATGTTTTAATTTAAACTCATTTGGATTCTAATGCAAACTTACTTAGTATCATTGGGTTTGGCTCATCAAATTGTACTACTTTGACTATAAGTTTGCTAGAAATTTATCGGTAAATTTAGGCTTCGTTTGATTATTCCTCTCATTTTGTAAAGGATAGTTTTAGAAACATTGGTTAAGCGAATGAAATTTTCTAACGGAGAAGCATATATCAAAAAGCTTCTCAAAACAATAAAAAAATGAAGTTCTAGAAGTGTCTAATGTACAGCGAACAAAAAAATAATTTTGCCGTTTCTAAATAGTAAAGGTAAAAAAAATGCCGAAACAAACAAGGCCTTAAAATGGAGCAAATACGTACAAAAGATTTGACATTTTCTTTCAAAACGCTTCATCATTCGGATTATTAAGAATCTCTTAATTATAGACAATTCATTTAACATTTAAATGAATTGTAACCTCAAAATTGAGTGATATTTTGATCTTTATTAAATCAATGTTTTAAGATTTTTAACTTTATATTAATTAATTTAGTTGGGTTCATTTGAACTCATGTCGGATCATTTTTGATGTCATTGGCCTCGTCTCATTAGGATGCTCAATTTGGCTGCAAATTTACTAAAATCAAAGTTTGGAAGATTCTAAATTCAATTTAAGAAATTTTTTAAATAAATAATACATCAAAATTCATGACAATTAAATAAAATTTATTGAGAGCTATCTATCAGCTAATTTCAATATCAAACAAACATGATAAAGCTCTTTATAAATATTGGAAAGACGTGAATTATTTTCAGATTACTAAAAACAGAGTTCGGACCATTGCTGAAAGAAATTATAAGAATTTGTTTAAGGTAGCTTTTTCGTTGTTTTGCTTTTTAGATAATAAACACAATTTTATTTATCTATTATTTTCTATATGCATTCTTGTTGCTTTAAAAAAAGAAACTAGTGGAAAGCTTCTTTTTGCAATAAGAATAGCTAAGTTATCTTTCCACATCAACTTCACAATAAAGTTTATAAAATGTTGTTATCGTCCCAATCAGACCCTAATGAATCATCATAAATCGCCTTGAACGTGCACAAATCTCAAGTCATATCTCAATTGAAAACTTTTAAAATTAAATCGGGACCATCTGAAGTCTAATCGCAACAAACTTATACTCAAATTGAACGTCCTGACAAGATGAACCCAACAACACCAAAATATCTCCAATCTGAGCCCAAATGGGCCCTAATCATTAGCTTGAAGTATGTTTGAAATATTTAGAATATTGATTGGGAGACCAAATGATATTCAAATATGATATGCTTATAGTTGAATCAAATAGCTTAACGAGACAAATCCAATGAGTCAAAAATTACTTAATTATGACATCATTAAGCCACTTAAATGCTGGACGAATGCTCTATGATCGAGATGATCAATACAGATTGTTCGATTAAGCACTCCAATTTTGCTCCAGATCTTATCTATATTACGGAGTATGCAACTCTTAAAATCAATAAATAGACATTCGCTCTTTACATGAGGGGGACTATTGGAGGCTTTAACTATGGGCCAGAGACTCAAGAAAGCTCTAAGGCTTGAAGAGTCCCGGAGCTCCACTTAGGCACTAAAACTCGGTGAACCCTCGCTGCACAACCACTATTATTGGACGTCTGCCCAACCATCTTCATCGGACCTTAGTCCGATTACCAACAAGGAGTCTCTGTCGAACCTCCGTCACCTACCGAATTCAGTCCCTTCGACCTCCCTTCGACCTAAGTCACCATACTATAGTCCTTCGGTCTTCATTGCCCGACTATTGTCCTTTTGAACTCCACAGTTTATCGACTACAGCTCTTTGACCTCAGTCACCCTAATATGGTTCTTCCGACCTCCATAGCCTAATAAAAATCTTTCCAACCTTTGTCGCCTGCCGACTATGTTCCCTTTGACCACTGTAGCTCAACTATGATCCCTCTAATCACTGTGACTTGACTACGGTCCCTTCGACCACCTTTGCATGACAAAGGTCAACTCGACCTCCATCGTATAATGACCATGGTCCTTCCAACCTCCGTCACATGCACACTACAGTCATTCGACCTAATCGAGTACGACCCTCTTGATCTCCATTGTTTGCTGGCTACGATCCCTTCGTCCTATATTGCAGCAAATTATGGTGCTTCAAACCTCTGTTACCCACCAACTAAGTCCCTCCGACCTCTGTCACCTCTGTCACCCATTGACTACGGTCCATACAACTTTCGCTCGTCGACCATAGTCCCTCCAACCTCCGTGGCCCGCTGACCACGATCACTCCGACCTCAATGATCCAACTACAGTCCCAGCAACTTTCGTCACCTCGCTGACAATAGTCTCCTCAATCTCAATCACCTGACTAAGGTCCCTCTGACCTTCATTAACCGACTACGATCTCTCTGACATCCTCACTTGACTATGATCCCTCCGATCTTAATCACTAGACTAAAATATCTCTAAACACCATGGCCCGTCGATTATGATCCCTCCGAATATTCTATTATGCAACATACAGTTAGTTTGACGCTTTCCGTTTACGATTATATATGAATTTACCATTAATTTTAAGTCCAAATCCACTTTCATTTATTGGATTGCGATCCTCAAAATTAGTTTCTTTCAGCTTCTTGCCAAACAAAAAATTGTTTGCTCCATTTGAATCAAAGGAAAATTAAGGAACTGAAATGAAATCTATAAACAATTAAAAATGTAACAACGAAGAATTGCTTTAAAATTTTCAAGCCCGAGTGATGGTCCATAGGGGTGTAAATGAGCCATTTTTCATTTTCCATACCAAGAATTCATTCAACTAAATTCTGATTCGATCTTATAAAATAATTATATCTTAAATTATTATTATTACACATGAAATCAAATCAAAAATTTAACCAAACAAAAAATATTTTTAAATTAATAATAATCCACTATTAGTAGAGCAATACTAATGATAATTCATTCCAGAAATAATTTCCAAAAATATTACCGCCGTTGTGTTCAGTGAAGAAAAATAAAATAAAATGAAAGGGAATTTATACATACACCATTGAAATTTTATATGTTTAATATTTAACAATTTATATTTATTCGTATAATATTTTAATATCTAAATATAATTAAAATTGCATTTTTAATATTATACAGAAATAGAATATGTTATGAATAAATATTAAAATTTAAATATTAGACATTTAAATATATCAAAACTCAATGGTGATAAATAATATGAGAATATCTTAAGATTTTTGTATATATTTAAAAATTATAAATTTATTTTAAAATTAATATTATATTAATTTCGAAATAAATTTAATTCTTTTTTAAACTCTTTATAATATAATTTATATTGGAATATTGACACCATATTTTTCTAGATAAATCCCTTAGTTTAGAACTTTAGACGGAGCGAAAGACGGCAGATTATTTTTCCCAAAAAAAAAAAAAGACGGCACGATTTTCAATGCTAGGAACAGTAGCATCGCCGGAGACCACTCCTCTAGCCGCAGGAGTCGCCGGCGATTCGTGCCTTTACACGCTCGAACCGGTAAACAGAACAGGGTATTGTGATCCCTCCCGGATGCCGGTACCCGAACTCCTCCTCGACCTCCCTAAGAAGCTCTCCGAACAGCGGATGGTTAAAGTATACCACTGGCACAACGTAACGCTTCGGCTGCGCGTCCACTACCCCCTTCTCCCCGCCGCCAACGTACACCACCAAATGTCCCTTCGGCGGCCGCTTCTCTCCTTCGCCGCCGACGACCAGCTTCGGTTTCTTGAGCCGGTGCTTCAGCGATAGGACCCACCGCGCTAGCTTCTCCATTCCCGGGGGTGAACCGCTGTTTTCCTCAGTGAACTGGTAGCTCGGCGGTTCGAGGAGGCTGTAAGCTGTCGACCGGCCGGGGAGCATCCATCGCCAGCCTTGAACCAGCCGTCGCCGGAGCCGGGGACCTCTGGCTTTGTTAAATGGCATGAGATGCTCCGACCGGCGAAATCGTTTTCCTTTTTTGGTTTTTGCTCTCGGCGTGAGGGGATGAAGGGTGGGCGAAAATGCTTTGATAAAGGGAGAACTGGAGGAGTGACGGGGGTTGAAAGGCTGGGTTCACATTTGTCGACGGCTCGCGTACGGTCTGGTTCAGTTAGACCGGTCCGGCCAGGAAATTAGCTGGGGGTGCATTTCTTTTGGGGTTTAAAAACAAGCACATGCGACTATAATATTTTAAGCATTAAATAATTTTAAAATTTATTATAATTAATTTATTTACAATTAAAAATACTTTCATCTCACACGCACATATATATACATATTCTATAATCATAAGTTTATTAAATTTACATAAAAGATAATTCTAAATAATTTTAAAAAATAATTTGTTTTAGTTATTTTAACAATTTCATGAACATAGAGCACTAGCTCTATTGTTTGTCCTTTAGCTTTTAAGTTTAAGTTTTAAATTTGAGTCAAATTTGTTGTGGAAAGTATATTCGTTGCGATATTGATTGAGATCGAGTATTTCATTACTGATATTTAGCACAAAAATATATAGTTGATAGAGTGAGAAAATTCAATAACTCTTTTTTCGTGAAAACTCCAAAAGGGAAAAACACACAAAGCCTTGCCAAAGTGAGAAGATTTTATTGCACTTAAGTGAGTTACAAAGCTTGATTCCTTAATTTGAAGACGATAAAATTAAAATTGTTTGGAGAGTTGATCAAATTTCATATAGGTACTCGAGAGCTTGTAATGACCATGGTCGGACGACGAAAGTTCGTAGTCTGGTAGCAACGGTTGGGTGAAGAGCCAGCAGGTGTTGGTGGAAGAACAGAGATCCGATGGTGTATGGACGAAGGTTTGACGGCAGTTGGCGGTCGGTCGATTAGGTTTTAGGGATCATTTGGTCATCCAATTAATGCTTTGAACATTTCAAACATGCTTTGGTACCTTGATTTGCACCGATTTAGGCTCGAATTAGACCAATTTTTGTATGATTGGGGTTGTCTCCTTGAAATATTCAGTTTAACTATAAGTTTATTGAAATTAGAGCTCAAATGATCCCAAATTTGATTTTAAAAGTTGTCAACTAAGATTTAATTCAAGATTCAAAATTTTTATGATATATTAAAATTTAAATTTTTATACAATATTTACCCTTTTTTCATTAAAATTGGATTGTAATAATATTTACATTAATTCATTTATGCCCTATTTAAAATTTATTAAATATTTATGATAGATTTTAAAATTTTAAAAATAGCTGCCTTTATAAGAATAATATATTTTTTTAATTATAAGAAAAGTGTTACAACAGCTAAGATAAATTTGTTTTTTTCCCAAGAAAAAGATCCAAATTGATAAATGAATCATAAAAGCATATGGCGAGGAAAGAGAAATAAATAACTAAAATAATAATAAAAAGGAAAGTAGCTTGACGTTGACGCAACGGAACAAGAATTTTGGACGGTACCGAAAGGATGATTACGGTGGCCGCAACGTGTTGACTCATATACCGTACGTATGCGTCCAGTTTTTGGCCATTGACGTACGGTTTCCGTATGGCATCAAACTTGTTACAATCTCCCCTCCCTAAAAAAATAAAAATAAAAAATAAATAAATATATAAATCTTTAGTATTCTTTAAATTCTAAAACTAAAAGTCTTATGATTCTAATTGAGGAGAGATTATGCGGACATCGGCGTCTGATACCGTTTGATATTGAGCGCGGTACCACTATATTTTTGGGATGACGTGACATATTTTTATTAGTCTCTGAACGATGTCCGAACTCTCTGGACGATGTCCGAACTCCGCACAGAATAATTTGTATTAAGGGCCATAAGGATCACCTTTCGATCACCGTCATTAAATTATCATCATCAGATCATTGACCAAAAAGTTCTATTAGATCTGATAAGACAACATAATAGAAATACAGAAGAATAAAAGGAAACAGACAAAGCAAAGATAAAATTAGCAAAACTTCAGTATGTATAATAAGTATTTTCACCACAGGCTTTGAGCTCAATACATGTGTATATATATACAGCTAGATAGCTGGGCACAGCAACTTTAATTCCTGTATAAGATGAAAGGCTCTGATTAAATTGCAGTAATAAGATGGCTGCACAGCAACTTTAATTCCTGTATAATGCATTCGAATATGCTTTGGATTGCCGGGATCAGCCCAAAGTTAGGCTTCCTTTGGGACGGCTTTCTTTATGTTTCTTAAAATAATTTTTTAGTACAAAAATTTAAATTTTTTACTAAAAAGTTGCTTTAAGAAAGCCGCCCCAAACAAAGCCTTGGTTCTCAAACCACCGCGCTCATTAAATCATCTCCATTGGTCCTTGCCACATAACCTACGTTGTCAGAATGTCATCATCCACTCTCTGCCATCAGATCGCTATTGCTTGACCATTATCACTAGATTGTTGTTACTTGCCCTCAAAAGATTTAATGACTCTCATCTCGCAACAACTCTGTCATATTTTTCACGAACAACTCATATCATTGCAATCAAGCTTTCTCCAATATGGACTAAGTGAATCTTTATAATCATCACTCACCTAGTAGAATTATTTTGATTAAACCAAGCACCTTGATTTTTCTCATTACTAAGTTTTCTAAATAAAAATGATGGTGTTTCCTATGCTTATTTCATTTATTTGTTTGTGTAATCTTGAATAATTAGAATTTATATCAAATTAATTTATATAAAATTACAACATAAGCTCATTCTATTACCATTAATATTTTAACATGCAACAAAATGTTATGATATATCACATTAACAACCACAATATTAAGGAAACGGTATAAATTTAAATATAGACCAATTTAATTGGGGGGTTTTAGCTACCTCCATGCAGGTAGGAATTTGAACGTACAAAAAATTAATTAATTAATTACAATTAAATTTGTAATTAAAATTAAATTCATCTACACCGAGTTTTTCGTCTCTTTTTATTGAACTTTTGTGTTGCTGGGTCCAAAGATATAATACAACGTTTATATATTTCACGCCCAGGCTACGTTTGGGACGGCTTTTTTACTACATCTTAAAGCGGCTTTTTAGTTAAAAAATTTTAGTGCTAGAAAATCGCTTTAAGAAGAAATAAAAAAGCCATCCCAAACGAAGCCTCAATTTATAAATCTTTGGTGAGCAAAATTGAAGGAATTTATGCAAATTTGCAACCTTTGATGTTGGTGATTTAGATATCATATTCATTTGAATCTTAAAGCCTAATGCAAAAGACCATAAAATTTATTAGAAATTTTATTTTTTATACTGAGGAAGTATATATGTGCATAATATATATATTTTTATTTTTTTGCTGTAGTTCACAGGCTTTTAATCTAGAAACTCACAGTTCACACAATCCTCCAAAGCTGTGTTCTTAACAGCAAGAGCACAAGCATAGGAAGCTTTAATTCCTAGCTCTCCATGCTTAAGCACTGTAGCCACGCCTCAAAGGGCTCCATTTTTCAGAGTTATAACCTCCACAAGCAGTACTACAAGCATCTTCCATGGCTTCCTTTGAGATGCCATTGTTGCAAATGTTGGCGTAAGCTCTCATGTGCTTCATGCCATACTGGGTGAGCGAGCCACAGTGGGACTCGAAGACTCGAACCTGAAACAAGTGAATTAGAAGAACTGGATCCAGAAACAACTGAAAACAATTAAAATTAACGTTAGAGTTTTCAGTGATCTTTCATTACCATGACTTTCAAACAGTTCCAGTCGTCGACCAATGGGACATCAGAGGGTCTGACAGCAGCGAGGATGGAGGGACCTTTCACTGCTCCAAATATGAGCTTTCCAATGAAATCAACGCTGTTATCTAGATGCAAACGGTGATTGAGCGTCTCTGTGATCTCCTTGAGAGTTTCTTCTTTCTTTGACCTGTTGTCTAACCTTTCATACTGCAACAAGGAAGAACAAATGTATTTTAACCTGGATGCTAAATGATCTCTCAGTAAAAGAAGACTTTAGTCTGCGGTTGGGACTGCTTTCTTATTGCTTTTTAAAGTAGTTTTCTAGCAAAAAAATAAATTTTTTTACTAAAAAACAGCTTTACGAAGCAGTAAGAAAGCCGTCTCAAACGAAGCCTTAGATATAGGACAAGCAGGTAGATAAAATGGGAACTAAGAAAATATAAGAATAAGATAGTGGTTGAGTAGGAATTCAATGATCCCAGATAAATATTGGGATTTGATTTCATTTCCCCACATTTTTCTATCCAAACAAAACCTATGAGACAATAGCAGACAGCTAGAAGTACCAATTCATTAAACAGACCATGGAAGGAACAGTGAACTCTATGTTATGAAAAGAATAAGGTTTACCATTTTCCACATGAAGAGAAGATCAGCATCTCTCTGGGTTACAACCTCTGGTGTTATGAAGCTGCTCTGAAGAGATTTTTTGCTGGCATTATAATTAAAGGGGTCAAAGCCTTGGTACAAATACAACTTTTCATTCCTGATGGTTGTAGTTCCATATTCCATCACATGTGATCCTGGGTGACGATCTTTTAAATTTAAGGCCCTTGCCTTCACCTGCACCACACAATGCTGATGTATCACACATCCATAGAAAAAAGAGACCTAAACAGCTATTATGCCAATTTACAGAGAAAAGAGCTTGCAAAGGCAACTCACCCTCTTATACTGTTCTTTAACCGTTTCGTTCCTTCGATTGTGGTTATCACTGTAATGAAAAATGAATGAGATTAGCGATTCTCTGTTTAAAATATATATTCATGAAGCATAATCAATGCAAAACTGCTTTCTAATCAAGCATTTATGAATTGCAGGTGGTGCACGAAGCTAACATAACTTCTTGGTCATTTGTTATATCTAGGGACAGATCCAATCTTAATTTTCAGGGGGTCAAATTTATAAGTAAAAGTGTAAAGTTTTTTTTTTTTAATTTTTTTTTTTTATAAATATCCTTACAATCAAAATTTATACCGAGGGCGCTGCCTCTCGAGCCCTATTTGTTCATTGTCATTCGCTTCGCAGATATGTCAGGGGTTCAACTGGGCAGAGCCCTCTAGTGGGGTTCGACCTATTTTAAAGATATTTTTGGATTTTCTTTACTATTTCTCTTTGTATTTGGTTCATCGTTCCCTAACATACGATACCAAAGATATCAACCCCTCCATGCCTTTCATGGGCGTAATTCGAAAATAAGATGAAGGATATGAAACAATGAATAGCGATAGTACTAATCATCGAGTGATGGTAGCCGATATTGGACTCCCACATACCTATGGAACAATTTACTAGTACGAGGATTAATGGAGAAGAGTTCTATTGCAGAGCACGCAAGACAAATTATGATGGGGATTGATGGCATGGACATCATAACATTTTGTCAGACAGTTCGGACTACTCAACAGTGGGATAATGATGAAATTTTGACGCGCCACGTGTAACATTGTTGGGTCGAAGCAACCACTCCATTAGAGTTTATGAGGTCAGAATGTTTCATACGAAAGCAGATTTACAAGTCGCCAGTTAATGGTTGGTCAATACTCCTAATGTTCAATTTATAAATTCAAATCCAACAAAAGCCGATTGAGTGTCATTTGTGCTTATCATCAGTCACCTGATCGTCCATTCCTTTGCGCGCTTTACATGCTGCACGGTGTAAAAGGTTAGGTGGTGTTATGGAAAATATCTACATGTGGACCACCACATACATGCACCCCCAATCTTGGCTAGTGACATCATAATTGCAACTCTAAATTTATTTGCAGACAAATTATTCCTATAATTAGACACAATTAGACATGAAGCCAAAGGGATTATAGCTAGAAGGAGTCAAAATTGACATAAGATATCATATGAAGGCTTGGAGATGCACGTAGAAAAGCTATGAAGAACTTTTGGTAGCTACGAGCAATCTTATTATTCTCTTTTTGTTTCATGGAAGCCTTAAAGGTTATCCCAACCAGGCACTGTTATATATTTCAAGTCGTTCCTCCTACACGATTTAAGTCACTTTTTTGGGCTTTCGGTCCTTCTATATATGGGTGGCAACACTGTAGACCGGTGCTTAGCATGGACGGGACATTCTTTAGTTGGGTTCATTTGAATTACAATTAGCTGACATGCTCGTTCTGAAAATTTGGCCTTAACTTTATATTAATTAATTTAGTTGGGTCATTTGAATTCAAGTCGGATCATTTTTTATGTCATTGGTCTCGTCTCATTCGAATGCTCAATTTGGTCACTAAATCAAAGTTTGGAGATTCTAAATTTAATTTAAGAATTTTCTTAAACAAATAATACATCAAAATTCATGACAATTAAATAAAATTTATTGAGAGCTATCAGCTAATTTCCAATATCAAACAAAGATTAAAGCTCTTTTAAATATTGGAAAGACGTGAATTATTTTAAGATTACTAAAAACAGATTCGGACCATGCTGAAAGAAATTTTAAGAATTTGTTTAGGTAGTTTTTCGTTGTTTTGCTTTTAGATAATAAACACAATTTTATTTATCTATTATTTTCTATATGCATTCTTGTTGCTTTAAAAAAAGAAACTAGTGGAAAGCTTCTTTTTGAAATAAGAATAGCTAAGTTATCTTTCCACATCAACTACAATAAAGTTTATAAAATGTTGTTATCGTCCCAAACAGACCCTAATGAATTATCATAAATCGCTTGAACGTGCACAAATCTCAAGTCATATCTCATATGAAAACTTTTAAATTAAAATCGGGACCATCTGAAGTCTAATCGCAAAACAAACTTATACTCAAATTGAACGTCCTGACAAGATGAACCCAACAACACCAAATATTCCAATCTGAGCCCAAATGGGCCCTAATCATTAGCTTGAAGTATGTTTGAAATATTTAGAATATTGATTGGGAGACCAAATGATATTCAAATATGATAGCTTATAGTTGAATCAAATAGCTTAACGAGACAAATCCAATGAGTCAAAAATTTATAATTATGACATCATTAAGCCACTTAAATGCTGGACGATGCTCTATGATCGAGATGATCAATACAGATTGTTCGATTAAGCACTCTAATTTTGCTCCAGATCTTATCTATATTACGGAGTATGCAACTCTTAAAATCAATAATAGACATTCGCTCTTTACATGAGGGGACTATGGAGGCTTTAACTATGGGCCAGAGACTCTAGAAAGCTCTAGGTTGAAGAGTCCCGGAGCTCCACTAGGCACTAAAACTCGGTGAACCCTCGCTGCAAACCACTATTGTTGGACGTCTGCCAACCATCTTCATCGGACCTTAGGTCCGGTTACCAACAAGGAGTCTCTGTCGAACCTCCGTCACCTACTGAATTAGTCCTGTCGACCTCCCTTCGACCTAAGATCACCATACTATAGTCCTTCGGTCTTCATTGCCCGATTATTTCTCTTTTGGAACTCCACAGTTTATCGACTACAACTCTTTGAGCCTCAGTCACCCTAATATGGTTCTTCCGACCTCCATAGCCTAATAAAATCTTTCCAACCTTTTGTCGCCTGCCGACTATGTTCCTTTGACCACTGTAGCTCAAACTATGATCCCTCTAATCACTTGTGACTTGACTACGGTCCCTTCGACCACCTTTGCATTGACAAAGGTCAACTCGACCTCCATCGTATAATGACCATGGTCCTTCCAACCTCCGTCACATGCACACTACAGTCATTCGACCTAATCGAGTACGACCCTCTTGATCTCCAATTGTTTGCTGGGCTACGATCCCTTCGTAATATATTGCAGCAAATTATGGTCCTTCAAACCTCTGTTACCCACCAACTAAGTCCCTCCGACCTCTGTCACCCACTGACTACGGCCCCTACAACCTTCGCTCGTCGACCATAAAGCTTCGTCGACCATAGCTCGTCAACCATAGTCCCTCCAACCTCCGTGGCCCGCCGACCACGGTCACTCCGACCTCAATGATTCAACTACAGTCCCAGCAACTTTCGTCACCTCGTGACAATAGTCTCCTCAATTCTCAGTAACCTGACTAAGGTCCCTGACCTTCATTAACCGACACGATCTCTCTGACATCCTCATTGACCATGATCCCTCCGATCTTAATCACCAGACTAAATCTCTCTACAACCATGGCCCGTCGATTATGATCCTCCGAATATTCTATTTAGCAATACAGTTAGTGTACGCTTTCCGTTTACCATTAATTTTAAGTCCAAATCCACTTTCATTTATTGGATTGCGATCCTCAAAATTAGTTTCTTCAGCTTCTTGCCAAACAAAAAATTGTTTGCTCCATTTGAATCAAAGGAAAATTAAGGTACTGAAATGAAATCTATAAACAATTAAAAATGTAACAACGAATTGCTTTAAAATTTTCAAGCCCGAGTGATGGTCCATAGGGTGTAAATGAGCCATTTTTCATTTTCCATACAAGAATTCATTCAACTAAATTCTGATTCGATCTTATAAAATAGTATTATCTTAATATATTATTTACACATGAAATCAAATCAAAAATTTAAACAAACAAAAATATTTTTAAATAATAATAATCCATATTAGTGAGCAATACTAATGATATTCATTCCAGAAATAATTTCCAAAAATATTACCCCGTTGTGTTCAGTGAAAAAAATAAAATAAAATGAAAGGGAATTTTATACAAACACCATTGAAATTTTATATGTTTAATATTTAACAATTTATTTTTATTCGTATAATATTTTAATATCTAAATATAATTAAAATTCATTTTTAATATATACAGAAATAGAATATGTTATGAATAATAAATATTAGACATTTAAATATAAAAACTCAATGGTGATAAATAATATGAGAATATCTTAAGATTTTTGTATATATTTAAAATTATAAAATTTATTTTTATTAATATTATATTAATTTCGAAATAATTTAATTCTTTTTTAAACTCTTTATAATATATTTATATTGGAATATTGACACCATATTTTTCTAGATAAATCCCTTAGTTTAGAACTTTAGACGGAGCGAAAGACGGCAGATTATTTTTCCCCAAAAAAAAAAAAGACGGCACGATTTTCAATGCTAGGACAGTAGCATCGCCGGAGACCATCCTCTAGGCGCAGGAGTCGCCGGGCGATTCGCTGCCTTTACACGCTCGAACCGGTAAACAGAACAGTGGTATTTGTGAATCCCTCCCGGATGCCGGTACCCGAACTCTCCTTTGACTCCTAAGACTCTCCGAACAGCGGATGTTAAAGTATACCACTGGCACAACGTAACGCTTCGGCTGCGCGTCCACTACCCCCTTCTCCCCGCCGCCAACGTACACCACCAATGTCCTTCGGCGGCCGCTTCTCTCCTTCGCGCCGACGACCAGCTTCGTTTCTTGAGCCGTGGCTTCAGCGATAGGACCCACCGCGCTAGCTTCTCCATTCCCGGGGGTGACCGCTGTTTTTCTCAGTGAACTGGTAGCTCGGCGGTCGAGGAGGCTGTAAGCTGTCGGCCGGCCGGGGAGCATCCATCGCAGCATGAACAGCCGTCGCCGGAGCCGGGACCTCTGGCTTTGTAAATGGCATGAGATGCTCCGACCGGCGAAATCGTTTCTTTTTCTTTGTTTTTGTTCGGTTCTTTGTCGGTCGTAGGGTGAGGGGAGAGGGTGGGCGAAAATGCTTTGATAAAGGAGAAGCGGAGGAGTGACGGGGGTTGAAAGGCTCGTTCACATTTGTCGACGGCTGGCGTAC